GCGCATACACGAAGTTGCTAGCGAGCTTATTGGCTAATTTGTCGTTTTTGTTGTTATCCAATCATTTTCAGAGGGTTGCCCCAAGCCTATCGATCTTGCTCTACTGATTGACGCGTCAGGTTGGTGATTAATTTCTTTATTTTTTTGTTATTATTATTATTTTTTTATTTTTTTATTTTTTCACCTATTTAACGTAGTTGTTGTACTTAACATACAGCCAACCCTTTAACTAGACTTGATTTCCGCCATACTCTCACGGCCGGTCTTTGTTCCTGAGAGGAGCGCGGGCTCGTTTCCCGAACAGCGGCTGTATCGAACGTACCCTTAAACAGGCTCGCTTCGCTCGCTAGAGCGAGTAGTAGCGAAAGAATCTAACTAGTTACAAGTTGAAGAGTTAGCTGTTTGCTTTAATATCAAAGCCACTAGCGTGATAAGACTGCTGTCCGAGTATCGAATCGGACGCGGTTCGGCTCATAGTACGCTAGTTATCTGAAGGAAAAAAAGCGTCACATGATTAGGACACAAGTTAGGAAGGTATCCACCACAAGTTCGAGTAACAAGTGGACAAAAACTTTGTACCAAGATCTTTTGTATCATATTGCAAGCTTCTGAGCGACTGTTTTAAATTACATTCTCAAAAGAAATCATTTCTAACAACACTAAATGTCGAAAACAAATTTTGAAGTTGATATGAAACACTTGAAAGTACTTGTGAAATGAAGCTGATGATGAAATTTTGCCTGTAATTGCGTAATTTCTCTGAACTTTGAAATTTATTTTCTCGAGTGCCTGTGGAAAATTGTCCTTGGTGTTATTTCGGGCGATTACTTATATCTTTAGCTTCTAGAAATTGCAAAAAAAAAAAAAAGAAAAAGAAAAAGGATCTTAGTAAACTGCTTAACATTATTCTGGTACAAGATTTTTGTCTACTAAAAACTGAAATTGCTCGAGTTCCAATCGTATTTCGTCTTAACTATTTTTGTTCCTCCATAATTTCAGGCAGTATAAGTAGAAGAAACTTTGGAAAATTCAAAACGTTTCTTGAGCGATTGGTGGACGAATTTGACGTATCTGACAGTGGCACACACGTGGCTCTTGTGGAATACAGTACTAAAGCATCAGTTCAGCTACGCTTTAATGAATTTACTGATGCGAAGCTTAATGCTGTCAACGTGAAGCGGAAAATTCGGAAGCTGCCACACGCGCGAGGTTTTACATACATAGACAAAGCGTTGGATCTTGCTGACATGGAAATATTTTCCGAAAAAGGTGGAATGAGACCAAACGTTTCCAAGGTAAACTTGTGCCACTTTTTGATCACGTGATATCTCCTTTTATTCAGCCTTAAGATACTTGTTATCACCTGTAGTTATCATATTAACTATTTTAGCTTGTTTTACGCGAGTCTTATGCCCCATTCACACCAACTATGCTAGTTTAACTAAATCAGGTTAAGGTTTTCCCAATTTGTCGATTACGCTTTGCAGTTATTTCAAGACGACAAATATCAAACCACCTTGCTAACATATTTTAATCAAATAGGTTTATACCTTTTTAAGTTGTGGGATGTGTACGGTATGAACAACTAATTTTCAACCTTGATAAGTTCAACCACTTTTAAACATGGTGTGAACGGGCCGGGGTCTAAGACGCTAATTCATTTATCATCTAATTAATAACATGAATACTACCCATGTCTTCCCAGATACTTATTGTTATGACTGATGGAGTGCAGACAATTGCAGAGGGCGACCCCAGGACATCCGGGGATATCCTGTCAGCGGCGGTAGCACCAATAAAGGAGAAAGGCGTAGAAGTAATTTCAATAGGAATTGGAAAAGGTATCGTGCTCATGGACTTGGTTACTCTCGCCTCGGATGATACCGGTGTTTTCTTGGCAGAGTCCTTTGAGGCTCTTGATCAGATCGTTACAGATGTCAGAGAAGGAAAATGCCCAGGTGAGATCGGTTTGGTTCCACTTTTGTCACATGATCACGCGCACACCGTCCTACTCTCTCCTCAGCCCCCCTCCCCTCCCCTCTCAACCCTGTGCCTTCCAATTCTTAGAATTGTAATTTGTATTAAATAAAATGATAAATAACTTTCAATAGTTAGAGAGGAAGCTATATCAGTCTTAGCTGGTTTTCATGCGGATCCTGTATCCTGGCGAATTGGAATTTGGAGTGTTGGTTTTTGTGGAGGGAGGAAAACCGGAGAACCCGAAGCAACCCGAGAAAAACCCTCGAAGCAAGGCCAGAACCAACAACAAACTCAATTTACCCACATATGGTACCGGGCCGGAATCGAACCCGTGCCACATTGGTGGGAGGCGAGCGCTCTCTCCACTGCGCCATCCCTGCTCCCCGTATTGACCTGTTAAGACCTGAATGCTCCCCGTATATTGACCTGTTGTGGCTTACAAGTCAAAAAAGAATTTGGAAGTAAAAAAATTGAAGCCTGCCTCAAGCCTAGTGGCACAGGGTGCCTCGATATATCTGCGTGCTTTCTGTAACTTGAAGTGATTAGGAGTATTTTTATTGCATGATCTTCTTCCTCACAGTCGACGGTCAATGGTCAAATTGGCAGAAATGGTCCGACTGCACTGAGACATGCGGTGGTGGTATCAGAAAACGTATTCGTAAATGCAATAACCCTGCTCCTGAAAATGGAGGGCTGAAGTGTCCAGGCCCCGCCGAAGAAGAGGAAGCTTGCAATGAAGAACCATGTCCAAGTGAGTAGAAATAGGCGAATATACAGTGGTGGTAGTCATACAGTTTTTAGTCGGAAAATTATGCGCCCGTTTAAGGCCAGCAAGAGTATACAACGTGAACGCTTGCTAGGGTTTAAAGTGCTGTTTTAACGGATCTTTGGAACAACACCTACAAACTTGATACCCGGCCGTGCCATTTTCGCACGTACATCAACATCGTTCTTTCTCCTTTACACAGTTGACGGAAACTGGTCTGAGTGGGAACCTTGGTCTTCTTGTCCTGTAACTTGCGGAGGCGGACTGGAGACTAGGATACGGACTTGTACCAATCCTCCACCAGCCTTTGGTGGACAGTCGTGCCCTGGGGTGGGTGAGGAAAGTCGTCCGTGTAACGAGGAACTATGTCCAGGTATTATTACGGTAGGAGAAATGTTCCGAACACGTTCATCTGCATTTTTCTTGTGGAGATGTCAGACAAATTTTTCTGCCCATAGTTGTTTTGTGAGAATAAACAACTTGTAGCGTATATCGTCTTAATTTACAACCAAATTCTCACAGCTAACCTTTAAGGAAATGTAACATTTTGATCCAATATTAATTCCATATTTTTTTTCTCGTTATTACCAAAACGAACAAGCTAGTTTAAAAACCAATAATAGATTATGCTATAATAAGCAGAAAAGATCTGAAGCTAATGTATAATGCAAATATTCTGTTAACGGCTTGTAATAAGGAACGTGAAATATATATTACGGTGAATGAGCGTACCGCGGGCAATCAAACAACAGTCCTTCTTAAGACGACCCTTGCCTAGACAATCACAAAACATAGTTTACTGATAGACCTGGGTTCCGACGAGTTGGTTTGTCTAACCTGTGTCTATAACAAAACAACTGATGGATAAACCTGCTCGTGCGCTGGAGTCTCAAGAATATACCTCTTGGTGGAGCGTCAAATAGATCCCCTTGGACGAAGTTATTCTGTGGAATTCTGGCCTTAGATGCACATACGTTTAGCAACTTACTTCGATTCGTGTACGTTACAACAGAGAAAATATTGTGAAAGAGGAATATCGAAAGCTCTCATCGGAACGAGCCTTTCTCGTCAACACAATGGAAATTTCAGGCCAAACAATAACCACAGGATTTGTAACCAAACCTGGAGAATAAGCGAGTAAAATCGCGAAAACATCTTTAATGCAAGTCAAGTAGTGATTAAAACACAAATAGAGACAAAAACGCAAAAAAGTTTAACGTGAAGCATAAACTAAAAAATTTTATCCACTCTTATTTCATGGAGCTAACTGAGCCAATTTCATCTGTAGTCGATGGTAACTGGTCTGACTGGCAGGACTGGAGCGACTGTCCTGTCACTTGTGGGGGAGGAGTGCAGGAAAGAACAAGGACTTGTACCAATCCCCCACCGGCATTTGGAGGAGAGTCGTGTCCTGGGGAGAGTGAAGAAACGAGAGCGTGCAATGAAGACCCCTGCCCAAGTAATGTGTGACTTTAATTGTTTTCCAAACTCCGCTGACACTGATTTTCTTATACACATCTACCTCTCGTTAGTCATATCTCTTAGGTTTAACACGTGCAATTGTTTTTAGTGGTTATTCAATTTATTTTGGCAGCCATTCGAACTGTTTTACCTCCTTTCCACAGACCTTATTATAGCTATATTTTACCACCCTTTTTGAGACCTTGAAAAGTATGAGAAGTCAAATGGCGACGAGTGAAATGTGGAAATAATTTCACGCGCGTTTTGGTCCAAATTCTTATAATTCACGCCAAACGTCGCCATGGCAGTTTTGTAATTTAACATGTCAAATTATAACTTAAGGCTGAAATTTCGCCCCAGAATTAAGGAGTTATATGTCACCCATGATATTACAGTTTTAATACATTTTGTTCCCAGAAATAGCGCACCAGTTTCCGTCATCATAATATTTTGTAAAATGTACAAAATGCGTGGATTGAATAATAGTTTGCAAATTGGATGAAAATAGTCAAGGATAAGGCATGTTGCGCTTGCGCGAAAAATGCAGCAAGAACATTTAATGATTAATTAAGTCGGCTGTTTAAGGACGTTCGCGCGAAAATGTCCTACTCGATAGATCTTCTTGAAACCTCTACTGCGGATAATGAATTAGTTGTTTCAGAAATGAAAAATATTGGGTTCATGGACTTCGTTTCAGAGATAAAGCGCGTGGAAATCTAGTCTGATTTTGACAAATTGGCGCGCCTAAATCAGCATGGTCTCTAGGTTTTTTAGCTTAAAATATCGAAGATGAATCAACGGAGACAAACTATCTTAGTAATATTTTGCATAAGTGAATCTGTTGCGTTAATAAGTCCAAATGTTGCTAACGTTTTCACAAAACTTAACCCTTCAAGAGGTGTTTGAAACCGCCGCACAGATAAACGAAGAACTAAAACAAACGGAATTCAATGGTGCATTTTGCAAAAAAATTGAACTTCTAATCGATAGATTTTCTTCAATTCTTCGGTAAACGTAGAAAATCGGCAGAGAAAATGATCCATCAAAGGAAATATAGGGATCACCGAACGTCCAAGATCGTCGAATCCAGGCAAAGCTGTAGCAATGGCCGTTAGACTGTTCACAGTCCCCTATTTTTCCGTGAGATCGTAGATGTCGATCGTTGAGTTCGATGGGCCGCCATCTTGGTCTCTTGATGCGAGCGAAACTGGGAAGAGTACAAAATGCCCGTGGGTAGTGGCGCTGGGGTTAATAGCGTGGGGGTGAGGGGGCGGAAAAAATCGCCGGCCGTGCCCTCCACCACCCCTACCCACGGGCATTTTGTACTCTCTCCAGTTTCGCTCGCATCAAGAGACCAAGATGGCGGCCCGTCGAGCTCAACAATCGACATCTACGATCTCACGGAAAAAAAGGGGACTGTGAACAGTCTAAATGGCCATCTGCCCTATCATTGTTCATTTTATTACTGAGCACGCGCTCGATGCATGACGTGGCGTGTGAATTTGCGTGCGCAGTAAGGATGCCCAGAAACAATTAGCGCGAACGTCCTAAGACTCGCTTCCGCACTGTTGTTATGTACGTTCCTTTTTCTGGCATCATTCTCCGTAATGATCTAGAGCTATAGTAATTTCCCAGTAAACTTTAGGGCCAAATTGAGCCAATTCACATTTTTACAGTCGATGGAAACTGGTCCGACTGGGATGACTGGAGCGACTGCCCCGTCACGTGTGGCGGCGGAGTGCAGGAAAGATCAAGAACTTGTACCAATCCCCCACCACAATTTGGAGGAAATTCATGTCCCGGGGAAAGCGAGGAGACCCGTTCTTGTAATGAAGACCCTTGCCCAGGTACCAGATTCCCAAACAATATATGTTGTTTTCAATTTTTAGTTTTATACTGGATAAGTGAATATAATTGCGGTGATTTTGGGCGATATACGAGACAAACCATAGAAATTTTACTCCAATTTGGCCAATGGCATCAAAAGGAAATAATATTAAGAATCAATAAAAAGATACATTGTTATCTGTTAAGGATCTTCATTGCACGCTTCTGATTGGCATTACTCTCTTCAGATTTGTTCCGGTAAGGGGTAACGCTCCAAATGTTATCTTTTCCATAATACACTACTGCGGTTACTTCCCTTTAATTTCTTTAATAGTCATCAAGCTTATATTGACGAGTATCGTAGCACAACAGTTTCTTTAGAAACTAACCACCGTGCAGCAAAATGCAAGGAAATCACGATTACCAACGCGGTGAATTTTGACCTGGAAAGGGTAACAGAAAAAATGCGTACCTTCACGGATTTGCCCATCGATTATCAAACGCGTACATGCTTCCTTGGTGGTGTACACAACTGGCCTATGCACTTATACAGTGAGGAATGAGTGTTCTATCAAGCTAGAGGCAGGGCCTTGAGCACAGAAACAATGTCACCTCTGTGTTCCATTATCCTTCGGATCTCGTCCTGACGTTTGTTTTTGGTGGTCTTTTACTCTCTGTCTGTTCACTTTCCTCACGTCTCAGACAATAATCATTATTGTAGTTTGAGGCACGTGAGGTAAATGGCATGACTGAGGTTACTGTTCTGTCACGCTTGTTTAAGGATTACAGAATCGATCAAGGACCTCTCGAAATGCTTCTCCTCAGCATCAGGTAGATAGCCATGCCCTGGCGAGATTGAACTTAGCTAGGACATGCAATGAAAATCCTTGTCTGAGTGAAATGTGTATTATTATAAAAATGCTTGTGGTTTTTCGGGGTCCTGTAGTTCTGTCCTTTCCGCTGGAACTCTATCTCATTCAAAATCCTCTTTGCAATTGATGGTAACTGGTCTGACTGGAAGGACTGGAGCGACTGTCCTGTTACGTGTGGTGGCGGAGTGCAAAACAGGTCTAGAACTTGTATCAATACTCCTCCGGCTTTTGGTGGAGAGTCGTGTCCAGGAGAGAGTGACGAAACCAGAGCGTGCAATGAAGATCCTTGTCCAAGTAACTTTGGCTCTCATAATAGATTGATTAATGTGATTGGTAGACTGTTACTCTTTGCTTCTTGTTGGTACTGTCTCATGTATTGTCGTTGTTGTAGTTGATGGTAACTGGTCTGACTGGAAGGACTGGAGTGACTGCCCTGTCACTTGCGGCGGCGGAGTGCAGAATAGATCAAGAACTTGTTCCAATCCCCCGCCGGCGTTTGGTGGAGAGTCGTGTCTTGGAGAGAGTGACGAAACCAGAGCGTGCAACGAAGATCCTTGCCCAAGTAAAATAATAGCAATGATATACATTTTTTCATGGTTTTCTTGGGGAAATTTATTAGCTCTCGCCTTTCTTTTGGAGCGGTGTCTTACCTGTTATCCTCTTTTCAGTTGATGGTAATTGGTCTGATTGGAAGGACTGGAGCGACTGTCCCGTCACGTGTGGTGGTGGAGTGCAAAATAGGTCTAGAACCTGTACCAATCCCCCACCGGCCTTTGGTGGAGAGTCGTGTCCTGGAGAGAGTGACGAAACCAGAGCGTGCAACGAAGATCCTTGCCCAAGTAAAATGTTTGCTTTCATAATATTTTTGCACGGTTTGAAGATACCGTAGTTAGGCGATCTTGAAACGGTAATAGCAATAGCAGATGACGAGGACACGTTCGTCAGATGCCACAATTTCATGAAAACTGCCTGAAGATTGCTTTTCGGTTTTAATAATCACATAGCAACGACTTCAATTTTTGTAAAGCAATTCAAATCAAGTTTCCTGAAAGGCCACTAAAATAAACACAGCGTTTGTAATGCCAGGTAAACCGAAAAAAAATCTGTATACTACTTGGTTCCTACTAAAGATTGCAACTAATAATATACGGAACACTTACTTACCATCTGGGGTTTAATTCTTAACCTTTTCAGCCTTCTCAAGTCTCGAGAAATAAATTAACTAATAACCGTTGCTACTGTCAGTAAATAATTTCTGCTCTAAATAGTGCAATAAAAAGGCATAGGGACCTGAAAGTTATTGTTGAATATCTGGAAATTTTTTTTGAATATATATCAAGACGAGATAACATCTATTCTGGAATCAATTTCTGAGGAGGAAAATAATGTTGCTCCAATTAATTTTACACTTAGTCGACGGAAACTGGTCTGACTGGAATGACTGGAGTGACTGTCCTGTCACGTGTGGTGGCGGAGTGCAAGAAAGATCAAGGACCTGTACCAATCCTCCGCCGGCGTTTGGTGGAGAGTCATGCCCTGGGGAGGGCGAGGAATCGAGAGCGTGCAATGAAGACCCTTGCCCAAGTAAGCTCATTTTGTAATCGTTGCAAAATGTATTTCATGTTATTTTAAGTTATCATTTGTTGAAGTACGATTGTTCTGTCCAACAATACAAAATCTAAAACTGTCAGAAAATTAAAGTCATTGACTATGTTCTGTGGATATCTCGTGTACAATTAATTTCACGCATTAAACATTATCTATCTTTAATATTTCTATAGGTATTTTATATTCTTACTCCTTCCTGTTTGTATTTTTAGCGTATACGTTATTTATTGTAGTTGGTCCACATCAGTCCTTTGGCTGCCTCTATTTCAAACCTATAAAGCATGTTTTTTTAAGATTAATATGTTATTTTTTTAAATACATGTAATGTGTTAATTATATCCTGTATATTTTAAAAGAACTTAAACATGAGGCCCTTCAGCTAACTGTGTGTCAGTTCCTTATGTAATTTGTTAAATGTATAAAACTGCTCGCTTATTCGAAAACAACAGTACAAAATTATTAATGGAGTAAGTGGAACTTTGAAATTTAGTTGATGGTAACTGGTCTGAGTGGAAAGACTGGAGCGACTGTCCTGTCACGTGTGGCGGCGGAGTGCAGAATCGGTCAAGGACTTGTACCAACCCCCCACCGGCATTTGGCGGAGAGTCATGTCCGGGTAATGCTGACGAAACACGTGCATGTAACGAACTCCCTTGCCCAGGTAAACACGTGTTTGAATACCGGTCGGGTGAATCGTGGTAACGCTGTAGATAAACTCTGAAATGTTTCCAAACAATTCTCGTTGATCTTTAGAGCTATTGCCTAGCAACCACACCAGCCAGTCGTAACACATAAACCACCTGCGAGAATGAAATTTTGTCTCTCTAGCTTTCGCTCACATGTCCCATTTAGCTTCCAATAGGAACCCCGTGACACAAACAATCGCATCGTTCGGATTAACTGAAACGTCGACATTATTGAGTCATTCTCTAAAAATAAAGAACTTATAAGAAAGAAAAGGGAGTAAATTACTAAACTGAGGTGTCAAAGTTTTTAAAGTAAAATGGTTTATAAAGTTCCTCGTAAGTATATTTTGCATCCTCTCTGATCTAGTCAGTTCACAGACGTTTATTTTTTTGTTACGAGTTATTTTCCTACGATTTTTGTCTTTCCCCAGCCCCACCCCGTTGCGTTTTGTCTCGTTCAGTTCCCACGCGCCGGATTACCATTTTGCTAAGCTTGCGATCTCGACGGGCTCAAGACAAAACAGAGGGTTTGTGGATAGCCTACATCTGCTCCAACGTTCGCTTATTGATTAACAGTTAAAATACTTTTTTAGGAGATGGCAGCTGGGCGGATTGGAAGCCATGGAGCGACTGCCCTGTCACATGTGGAGGAGGAGTACAGGAAAGATCGAGGACTTGTACCAATCCTCCACCGACATTTGGTGGCGAGACGTGTCCAGGGGAAAGTGAGGAAACAAGATCCTGCAACGAAGATCCCTGCCCAAGTAAGCTAATTGATTTTTCTGCAATAATTTCTTCTCAAATATTTTGAAGTTCTATTTATTCGTCTTTCTACTAAAACATTACCCTTTCAACGCGACGTTTAAGCTCTTGACTCTTAATTTAGTTGACGGCAACTGGTCCGACTGGGAGAACTGGAGCGACTGCCCTGTCACGTGTGGGGGAGGAGTGCAGGAAAGAACAAGAACTTGTACCAATCCCCCACCGGCCTTTGGAGGCAAGTCGTGTCCTGGAGAGAGTGAAGAATCAAGGCAATGCAATGAAGACCCTTGCCCAAGTAAATGTTTTGTTGACTTCTTGGCAAAATATACGTCTACACAATAAACTAAATCGGTCCAAATGAAGTTAGTCCTGCATAAATCGAAGGTCTCTGATAATCGGGTTTTGAGAAGTCTATTTTATCGATTTTCCAAAGCATAAATGGTTGGAAATTAGGAACCTTGGACTTAGAAAATTGGAGCCATCAAGAAAAAAAAAAACAATAATAAGTGGATCGGAACACACAACTTAGTTAACCAAAAAAAAAAAAGAAAAGAAAAAAACATCACTTTTCTTTAATTCACGTATATCATTTTTATCTTTTAAGTCGACGGAAACTGGTCAGACTGGGGTCCGTGGAGCGCATGTACAGTCACATGTGGTGGGGGAACTCAGTTCCATACTCGCAGTTGTAATAACCCCTCTCCCGCGCATGGAGGACTTGTTTGTATCGGAGAAAGCGAGGAATCAAGGGCTTGCAACATTGACGACTGTGGAGGTAAGTACATGAACCCTTAAGAGAGGATGTTCTAAGAGAATAATTCGCCGATATCGTTTCCCTTTCTGATGACAAAGTTTAGAAGTTATTTATAAGCATTTACCGAATAAGATTCCTAATTGGTTCGTTGTCATCCGCTACAACAGACGGTGATAGTTTCTGAATTTTATTTTTTGTTTGTCTTACTGGACGTCGCTGAACTACAGCAAGTGAAAAGTCTGGATGTTATCGAGAGCTACGGGTTCGCCGAAACTTCATGAAAGCTAATAGCTGGGACAATGTGGTACGAAAGATTAAAAAAGTCATTATTAGGAAATCGGTTTCTTTTATAATAATGCTCTCTTGTTAACATCGTACTGATATTCTTCGGACGAAATTAGTTCAGGTAACCGAATGAATGCGAGTGCAATTACGGATTTACACTATGTACGAGTGATATTTGAAAATTCACTCTAAATTTCACGAGTCCTTAGGCGAGTGCAATGTGAAAGAATTTTCAAATATCACGAGTGTTGTAAATCCTTAATTACTCGCGCTTTCATACGATTGCTCGTTTATTACATGAATGAGAAAGTTGCGGACGGGCTCGCGTTAATTTGTACCGCAGTGCAAATTCATAATTAACGATAACTGATTGGCGTGCTCTCGGCCAGTCACTATGAAGTAATACAGAGCTTAAGGCTATTTCCTTCCATTTTATCCTAATCAACAGTACCAGCTGTGATAACGCACATCAACACGTCATTGGCGTCGTCTCAGATTGGTGGCAAGGTGGAATTACAGTGCGTGTCCGACGGTGATCCTATACCTACTGTGACATGGTACAGTCCTAATGGAACTGAGCTGACAACAATCACGGGCACAGACAGTACTATATTTGTGGACATCAACAGCGAGGATGACTTTGGTGATTACAGGTGCACGGCCGACAATGGCTTGGGTCTTCCTGTTGAGAAAATAGTATCTGTAGAACCTGTTGGTAAGCACGCCAGGGATTGTCTTACCTGGAACCCTTTGATTCGTTTACATGCTTGGCTTGGGAGTGTACATAAATATTGAATGGAGCTCTAAAACTGGCCGTGATTATGTATAAAATCCATAATAATATTTCCCCATCGTACCTGATGCTGATTAAAAACTCTGAAACTTGATAAATTGCTATGTCCCTAGACCAAGGACTGGGTACGCAAAATGTAGTAAATGCATTTCCATTAGCATAGTCAATGTATTTTTCGTGTAGTTTTTCACCCGACACCTAGGAAGACCATTTTTATGATAAGATAGTATGTGATTGATTGATTGATTGAGTGAGTGAGTCATTGAGTGAGTGATTGATTCTATTTTGAAAATGCAGTCGTTCGCTCCCTCCCTTCTCCCACCCCCGTTGTAAGATGGTGACGGAACATTCCAGTATTTTATAATAGATTAGTTTTCGGAGTCGCAGAACTTATGTTATTAAATTAAACCTCACCTCTAGACAGCAGTCATTTTCGCTAACGGACGTAGGACCTGAGCAAAGTCCCAGCGAGTCATTTATCATGTCTCTTCAACTAAGCCAAGAAATTAGCTGAGGACAGTAACTAGAAGTGCTTAACTTTGTATTCTTGTTTTGTTTCATGTGCTCCAATCAACGATAGCTCCGAGAAGGGTAAGAGTCTCTTTTGATGCGATATAGCTACGTAGGTGCAAAATTACTTTAATTTTTTTCAAAGGGGGGGGNGGGAGAGACTTAGCCATTGTGATCAGCTATTGTTGAGAAGCAATATTTTGTCTACCATACAGAGTGACAGTTGCGTAATTAAGTTTAGCGCCACTAGAGTGGTTTGAATTGGCTGCATCGTGAATGAATCAAAACCTAGCTTCGAGTTGTGTTGCTCACCTAGAGAAAACGACCATCATGTGGTTTGTTCGTACAAGATCTTACTCACAAGTCTTACACGCACCGAGTTATGAAGCCAAATGCGTTATGTGGTCAAATTTGTGGTTACAACATAAATTTATCGATTCTACGAGTCAAAGTATTAATAAGGTCATATCCCAAAGATCTTGACTTATAATTTACACAGTAGGAGTCAAGGCCTTATGCGTCCGATGGCGCGATGAGGAGTGATGGTGAGAAGTCAAGACCTCATGCACATCGAAGCACAAAGCAATAATAACATTTCCCTTCAGACTGCATCCACACAACGTATCGAACACACTCCCTAATCTACGATTAGTAGTAATAATAATAAACTAAACTATTTCTTGTTGTTGTTTTTCATTTTAAGGTCGGCCCACCTGGCGACCCCGGCCCTAAGGGAGACAAAGTATGGAGACTTTTCTGATTATCGTTGCTAGGTTTTATTGATGATATTTATTTTTTGCGATGCGCTCTTGCCTAGTGATTAGCAAACGCTGGAACGGAAAAAATACATACTCGTATGTTATTGGGAAAGGTATCGTAGTAAGACAATAGGCAAGAGCGACCTGACAGAAATGGGTTGTTTGATAGCCTTTGATAGACTATCATCAGGTCCGGGTGGTGGGGTAGGGGTGGGGAATAGGAGAGGGAGGGATAGTAACAGGCTCTGATTGTGGGTAAAAATGAAAATCACGTCAACGGCATATTGTATTTTGGTTTGAAATGATATTTCGTGGCGTGGCCTTTTACAGTGGTTTTCAAGAGCAGATTCCTACGACTGTTTGTTAGTTATAATATTAGGTCTGGTGGATTCAATTTTGTAACAAGCAATGACCCAATCTTCAATTGCAAGTTACACCCAAGATCCGGACCCGATGAAAGAACTGAATTTTAGGGCGAGACGTTTCATCCAGGTTGACCAATTGTTACCTGTAAACTGCTGGGATAGCCCAGGAAATTTTCTTAAGGACTAGTAGCAAGTGGAGACGGGACCGACCGTACTTACATAACGCTCAGGAACAACTTTTCTGATCCTTTGTTAGGTGATAACCTGTTATTCCCGTTTAATTTTGTTGTTTTCTAAGTGCCGACCTGGCTGATGGTGTCGTTTGCTTTCAGGGAGCTAAAGGGCCGCCCGGGCCCCCCGGATCTGAGGGAGACCGTGGAATTAAGGTGAGCTTGTCAATGACTCTGTGGTGTTGTAACGTGAACAAGGATGCGTAACCGTACTGGATCAAATGGACTCCTGATCTAGAGTTTTGTCTCGAACCCTTTCTGGCGGGGTTCTTGAGTCGAATAATTTATTTCACAGTGGCTCTCGGTACGAAAGTACACATGAATGTTGGCGAATTGACATCCAGGCAGTGTACTGTAACTCTACTTCCACAGTTTCTTGTTATGACGTTAAGCGCCGCCATCTGAAGGGATCAGTCTCAAAAACTGATTTTATCATCCCTGGTCCTTGCTCGGATTAATAACTACTTATTATCCGAGAGTGAGGTCTTTACGGCGTAATCTCAAACTGAGACCTTGCCGTATTGACCGAACGATAGCGAGGTTAATAGGGCAAGGTCGATGTTGAGACTTTCCCGTAAAAGACCGAACGTTCGAGGTTGTTAAGTAGTTTATTAAATGGCTTTTTGCTTGGTGTTCGCAGGCCCGTAATCGTATTTACCAAAAAAGAACGCGTGTACATGTATATCGGCTACAATATGTGATAATAGTGTATATTATTTGACATCCGTTAGGTGTGTTTGAAGAGTTTTCAATTCCATTTATGCTATGAAGCGTATTTTGACACCAAGTTTTCCGGCGTGCTTATCTAACCGGGTGTTCTTCTTTTGAAGATGTGAAACTACCGTACCGCAATTTTCACTACCGGTATTTACAATCCACACCCCTGATGTATCGAATATGTAAAGAGCATTTCTTAGATTTTCAAAACTGGAAACCCACTTTTGCTGTACCGCCTGCCTAAAGCTCATCTTCTCTATCCGATCTTTTGTGAGTTTCTTCACCATCCAGTATAATACATGTATATGTATATTTCGTTCATCAGGGAACCCCGGGTAACGTCGGTCCCAAAGGAAGACCTGGACCTCGTGGACCCCCGGGACCACCGGGCAAAATTGTTTTCAATGTCACTGGGCCTGATGGGCCGGATATCGGACCACTCACTGGCTTTGTAAGTGGAACATTATTGTTGAAATGCTCCTTTGGAAAAATGAAATTTGTTCTTTAAGTGGGGGCTAAAGGAATACAGCTAGCAATAGGGGAGAAGAGAATTAGTGTTCTTATTATCGAACTCTGAAACAATTTTGCGATAAAGTGTGTTGAGGTTTTGACAATTACAGTTGAATCCCGCAGGGGAAACGAATGATAGTTTGAAATAGCGGGAGTACAAAATAACCGATTGTAAATGACTGAAGGGCAAATCCAGGGGAAATAGTTTTGAGTTCGAAATAATGAGAAATTCGAAACAACCAAGTTCAAATGAGCGGGGTCTAACTGACGAGTGTGGCCTTCATAGCGGAGTGTAATCGAGAGGTCAGAATTCCTCATGGCGCTGGCAATGAAATTTTTTTTTTCTCAGGGTGATGATTTTATCGATTAACGTTCATTTATTGGCGTGTTCACTCCTATGCTTAATATTATCTTTTTTAGCTTTCAACTGGCAAGGGACCTAGTATTGGATACGTTGAGATAAAAGGTGCCCCTGGAGAGCCGGTAACTTTTCCTGCTATTGTCTAATGAGTTTAGTTGAAACTTGTTGTGTTGTTTACGAGTGCGGTCTCGGTAAATGCATGTATGCGTCAACTTTATTCACCTCTTCCTTAATCGAGTTAGAGGTCGGTATTGTAAGATGCGAATCGAGTATATGTCTCTCCGAATTATGGCTCAAGCACAGACAAAACCAGGAAAAGAGAAAACGAGAATTCTCATCGTACAAAAGTAATAGAGAAAATGGTATCAATAAGATATTAGGCACCGTCCTCACTTCGTCGGAGAAATTTGAAAACGCAGCTTTACTTCCACCTGTCTACACTAATCCGTCACGAAAACGGAGCTTTTCGAAAACGCTCTTCAACTGAACCGAAGGAATTTGAAAACGCGGGCTTTTTGATTTGGCGTGGACGGAAAACACTTCGAAAACGGAGCTTTTCGAAAGCGATCTATTCACGAAAATCATTTGATTTCCCTGACCGAATTTCCCTCAATTACAAATCCAAAATCCAAAATGATCGGTGATTGTTGCGTAATTAAATTCCTCCCGCGTAGTGTGGACGGAAAACATTTGATGCCTTTTCATAGTGAAGCCTTCGTTTCAACTTCTCAAGCCAAATACGGATAGTGAAACTTATCACTCATAGGGAAATCTGAGAAAAAAAAGCTGCCAATTCAAAGTAAATTGATTTTTTACCGCAAACTGACAGCAAAATTAAACGCTTTTTTACAAGCGTTTAGTATTCCAGATAGCTGAGACGATGACACTGACGTACATTGACTTGGTTTTCACAGGGTCCTTCAGGAAGGTCTGGCGCGCCTGGCTTTAGAGGAGCGGAAGTATGTAAATATAAGAAAGCCTGTATTCCAGGCCAATGGTTATAATACGTTTCCAGTAATCAATTTTAAGTTCCACTTTCGAAACGAAAGGTAAAGCAGGTGAAACGTTTGTACGTTCCTGGCGACCTTTGCAAATAACACCCGTCCAGCAGGGAAAAAGCCCGGAGGTACTTCTTTATATGGGCTATATAGGTATATGCGGCCTCAAAGTGTAATGTTTTCAGCCGTTTAAGTCATAAAATAAGGTATCGATTTTGGCCAGTTTGGTCATAAATAGGGTATGGTTTTTGCACTCTAGTCTTGAACTGGAATGTCTTTTAGAAGAAACCTTTTGTCAGGTCATAAATAGGATAGATAACTAATGCACACTTTTTCCCCAGGGGACGAAACTCTCGAATAAATTGGGCGGGGGTGTGCGGCCCCGCTTCCCAAACCCTTTACTTTATTTAAGTAACCCCGAAAAATACACAGCTACGAATTCGTCTATTGTTAAAATAGACACTACTTCTGTCAATGAAACAAAAAAAAAATTGTAATCATTGCCCGACGACAGAAAGTTTTTGGAAACTAAGCGCAGAAAATTGTTTTTCTGAAAGTGAATATATGCAATGGCTTGTGTGTCAACTGCGGTGGAGAGGTTTCATTAAAAGCCCATTGCAAGTATAAACGCATCTTACGCAGTTTCGCCAATGTCAGGCTTGAATTAAGACCTCTACGGTACCTGAGAATTCCTCTACCACGTTTTCGACGCCTTTACCGCACTATGTAACTCATAGTTAAAGATTGCATTAAGGACTTTATTTATTTATTTATTTATTTATTNGTCAACCTGGACGAAACGGCAACGATGGGAGAAAGGTCAGTTTTGAGGATTTAACATCTGGTTTGCAATCCATAAAGTTAACGTGTTAAGGGGGGAGCAACTCCTGCAAAACCAACGTTGCATACCTGTTTACGTTTAGCTTACGTGAAACAATTCTCGTCCATCGTGAGGTCCATTTTTATTACTGATTATTTTTACTGTTATTTTAATCTTTAGGGACAGCAAGGTCCACCAGGCCCAGGTGGACGGCCGGGAATGCCTGGAGCAGCTGTAAGTTTACCTGAATAGCGAAATTCGACTTGGAAATAAAGCTTCAATTATACTAATGTTTTAAGCTGAAGCTTCAACACGCTTACCCTGGAACAGAGAAACTTTTTGCATCATCGTCTAGAGGGAATTAATGAGACGTCAAGACTCTGTAATTTTCGGATTAGTTTCTACAATCTAAATTGAGGCTTACATTAATTTTTTAACCAAAGACGTTTTAGCTTAATTTGCTAATCCTTCCCATGAATCACCGTGATTGATATCGAACGTTTGTAGAGAAGATGTCATCTTCCATATATTACTTTGTCTTGATAAGTAAGCTTTTAACCGTAGACATTGAAGGAAAGCTATTGAGAATCAATAAGTCAGGAGACCTCGTAAACCGAAACATTTTGTTTCTTTCCATGCTAGGGACGGGAAGGTTTGAGGGGCAAACCAGGACCAGAAGGACCAGCAGTAAGTTAAAAAAAAACTCCTAGTTATGGTGTTTTAATTGTCTGACCTTGCTCTTAAGGTTACCTAATGTTAAAAGGAGGGTAATGTAGGCTGCGCCTAACGAATTATTCAATAACTTGAGTTAATTTGGGTGCAAACTTGAAGCGCAAGCTGTGTAGCGCGAGGATTAATTAATTTAAATATGTTTTGATCTTACTACGGCACACGATTGGCTTAAAAAAAACTCGCGCCACTTTTTTATCATCCAATCAGGAGTAACACCAAAACCAATCGTAACTCGTTTGCACTCATTTTCCACTTAGAGTTTTGATTGGTTCAACGTATTGTCTTTGTCTTTTATGATTGGCTAGAGTGAATGCTTTGTGGTTTTTGTTTTACGACACTCACTTGAAAACCATTCTAAAAACAAATAAAACTGTAGACAAAACTGCACAAAGGTTTGAATGTTCCACCTACATTTAACGCAATTTTAACCTCCATAGATGGCTTCAGTTGTGTGGATATTGGAGCTAAAATATAGGACGATGACATATTTTTAGGGTATCCCCGGAGAAACTGGTGAATCAGGCACACCTGGGACTCCCGGACTCAAAGGCAACCAAGGTCCTCCGGGCATGCGCGGTCCACGTGGTTTAGTCGGTAATATCGGACCTACTGGACGTGACGGAGAGAAGGGAGATATTGGAAATCGCGGTCGACCAGGTGAACCGGGAAATCCTGGAGCGAAAGGAATTACGGTATGGCACAAAAATCCTGTATGATATTGTTTGGTTACAGATTGCGTGAAGTGCTGAAGCCTCGCGTGAGCAAACACGTACGGATCTCTAGGATTGTATGTCGTGCCCGTGGCCGTCTGTTCCTGCTTCTAGTCTTGCAGTGCTTGTTCCCTCACATGACGTTGAGAGATCTCAGGTCTCATCTTCTGCAGCTACAGTTTACCGCCGACAAGTTTCACTGAATTGAACTTACTATAAGTCCATGAACTTCAACGGTGTTTCTCAAAGCTAATTTTCATTCTTAGCAGCAATGCCAACACGGAAAAAGATCTGTTCAAGCCTGGACAATTTGCCTACAATCAAGATCATTCCCCATTGATGATTATTTGCTAGTTTTGTCAGCTGACAGCCTGACATCGGCCATGCGCAGACTCGTAGTCGTGGTCCTAACCTTATAACCTCCCATAAGCTGAAACCTCTTCGTGGTGGACACTCCATTATGTTAGTGGAGTGTCCGCTTGCGTGAAGTTGAAGGCGGAACTCATTCTTTGTAATTGTTATGTCAGGGTCGTCCAGGAAATACCGGTGCAAGGGGAGATCGTGGACGGAAAGGCACCGCAGTAAGTACTGTTTTGTTCAGATATTTACTGCTGAAGAGATTATTGTTTCCGAGTTATTAAGGTGACCGATAGACATGTTCAAATTCCCATGAGATTATCAAGGCCATTGCTCACAAACTGTTAATTTGAGGCTGACCATGCACAGAAGGTCAACGACAAGCGATTTTGTAATTAATTAATCTCTCCTGTTCTGCTGAAAGGCCAATAGTTCATTTTTCTCTTTGCGTGTTTGTTCTGATCTCGTCCGTTTTTCAGGGAATTGATGGTCAACCGGGCAGAGAGGGACGAAGAGGGGAGAGGGTAAGTGTGCAATAGTAATTTAAGAGCCTCGAATTTTTTTCCTACGGGGACTTAAAAAATCANATTTTGCGGGTTTCACAAATTTCAGGTATATAATCAATCACTTTACTTAAACACTTTGAGGAATTATGTTTAAAAGGGTCAATAATAGCTCCTTCCCCGCTCCTCCCGCTCATTCTTTTTTTTTTTTAGGTAAATTTAGGTAAAACATGTAAATAAAAAATGTGTAATTTGTTTACCCACGGAGCACCAAAGAATTCGCGAGAACTCGTTCAGAAATGCCCGTGCATTCCAGGATCGAATTGGAATGTTGGTTTTTGAGGAGAGGGGAAAACCGGAATACTCGGAGAAAAACCTCCCCGAGCAGAGTAGAGAACCAACAACAAACTCAACCCACATATGACGACAGGTCCGGGAATCGAACCCGGGACACAATGTGGGCGAGCGTTCTCACCATTACGCCATCCCTGTTAGGGTCAGAGTGGCTCGATTTTGGTTACGTTCTGTTTTTGTATGTTTATGAATCCAAACCCAATCAATGTCCATAGTCATAAGAGCAAAGTAAATGGAGAGCCAACATCCTGCAGCCATCTTGGCCGAGCAAGCTTGTTCGATAAAGGATTCGCTCTGTCTCATAGACAATACGTTTCGTGCAGGGCACAACGATAAATCCCGAGTTTGCAAGATAACCCCCTTTTTCTCGCTCGGGTAGCGAGTCACAGTGCATTGTTAACGTGGCCATCTTGCGAAACTAGCCGTGTAACAAAATGTGCCTACTCGTTTAATTTGGTTTGATGGTTTCTTTCTACAGGGTTCTGAAGGCCCCCCCGGCGTACCAGGCAGACCAGGCGTGCCAGGCACAAAGGTTTGTACGAAAAGTAAAACCGAAACTAAGTTAAGTACGGAAAAAAAAACTGAAACTCACTAAGCGTACGAAACTGAGTTCTGAAAAAGGGATGAGGAATTACTTCATGAAATATTATCTCATGTAATAAGATTCAAACATTTGAAAGAAGTGTCCTTACCCCGAGGAACATTGTTTTAATGCTACCGCCTGTAGAAGGGACTGTCAGTCGAACAGAAGGTAACTCTTAGTACAAATCGAATGTCACCACAACATCCGTTCAAGATAAGGAAATTAACCTTGTCGCAGACATATAACTTTGGGCGAAGCGTTTTTTAACCTTTGACAATCCCGTTTACAATAGCATACCGCAACAACAAATATCGGACTTCTGGAATGATTTTGAAGCCGTTTTGAAGTTTATTTTGTCAGTATTCGAAAATCATTTTGGCATGTTCCTTTTCCTGCAGGGTGCTCGAGGAAGTTTTGGACGAGCGGGAAAACCAGGATCACCTGGACTACCGGTAACAAATAATTTGACAACAATTCTCGTTCAGTTCTCATGGAAAAAAATAAATTGATGTCTTGTTCTGATCTCGTTAGGGCATGGAAGGTTTAAATGGTGAGATAGGAAGACGAGGAAAAGATGGACAACTGGTTAGACCTGTTTTTCTTGTTTCAACTTCTTTCTGAAACACCTCATCAAATCGGCAGCCTAAATAGCTGCAACATTTCATTAAACCTGCCTGTGACTTCATCTGTGTTAGACTGATAACATTTGTCTTTCGCCAATAGGGACAAACTGGACCGCCGGGAAATCCGGGACGGAAAGGACATCAAGGAAGGCCTGTAAGAGTTTTGAAATATTCTGCTTTATTTTCTTCTTGTTTTCAACTTTGATTCACGCTTTGTCAAGTGTAGAGTTTTGCTAGACTGCGAAAGGTCCATTCCCCTTTCTTCTCATTTCTTTTTTCTTGTTTCTACTTACAGGGTATGCCTGGTTTCTCAGGCCCACCTGGTGCACAGGGAGCGGATGGAGAATTGGTAATCATTCATTTCTATGTAGAACTAGCGCAAGCTTCTTCACGTTTCAGGTTATGTCATCCGCTCCGCACATGCATTCCACTCAAGTCTCTTCTCCATTCCCAAACGTATGGTCATAGCAATTCATACAGTCACTGCGGTGACGTTTGTAAGGTTGGAAATGGGGCGAAGGGGGAAGTGGGAGGAGGGAGGGCGAGGGCGAGGGGGAATGGGGACAAGGCGAAAGGGAGGGAGAGGAGGTGATAAGAAAATCGAGATTTTCATTTTGCAGCCTTCACATTATTTTACCCCTAGATCAGAGAAGAACTAGAGACTGCATTATAGTCTAGCTCTCAGCCTCAGGCGATTTTAAAATAGCAAATTGGGGTGAGACGTAAAGAGTCGACGAAAGTTAAATGTCAAGATAAATGATTACATGTATGTAGTGAAAACTTCAACCTTGCAACCTCCTAAACGTCAGTTAGAAGGTTTCAACTTCAATATTTCGTAACGCCGGACAAAGCTAAAACTTTAACTGTCCGATTCTTATGCTTTTGTTGCTAGGGAGACCGCGGACTTGATGGCAGACCGGGTGCACCTGGCGATTCAGGATTTCGTGTAGGTGGAAAATAGGAAACTTGCAAATTGCTTGTGGATTATGATTCTTCTTACTACTTTTGAGTTCTGTAGCTTATCCAGTACTGAAGCTTATGCAGTACTGGAACTTATCACTGAAATCGTATGAAATTCATGTCCAAGTTTTCCTCCTTTTGTACCACTAAAACAGGCCAGTTATCTCCATTTCAACTGTCTTCAGGGCACCGCCTTGTCCTCTAAGCAATACACCACATTCCCTGTGAAAATATACAATTGATCAAGTGGTCGTAAGCTTTAAAAATGCTAAAATGAACTTAGGAAGTTTCAGTCGTTTGTTCGTCGTTTTGTCACTAACTACAGCTACAGCATTTTGTAACATTTCCCGTTTCTCTGTGGAAAATCGTCCAGCAATCATTTGACTATAAAGGTCCTATCCGCTTAACGTCTATGCTATCCATCTGAAAAATTTCTAGTTGATATTGACCAATATTTACCCTAGGAACACGTACCTTTTATTATTCGGTGATCTGTTTTACCCCATCTTCAAAACTTGTCAAGGAATGTTTCTTACTAACCATCGTCTCTCTTTGATTTTTCTGGGACGATGTCAACTTCGTTGCTTTATAAGCGTCTTTAAAAACACGGTATCCGTTAAGTGTTGCCTTTAAAAAAGGAATCTTGTAAGTTCATACGTCTGGTGGTTAACTTTTAGGGATTCCCAGGACCGGCCGGGGAAGAAGGAACTCCGGGATCCATGGGCACACCTGTAAGTAACTCGGTCAGGAACTTTCTGTGAAATAATTGCTCTCAATTAATCTGTTTGCGAAACGACTTCGTTTCCTTAAATGGAGTAGCGTACCCATAGAAATGCCTCGTAGAGCACAATTCCAAGGATTGGAAAGAAAGCAGCAAGGTGAAATGCGAAAAACATCGGGAAATGACATAAACTCTTGAGTTCTTTTTTGATAGAGCTTTTATCACGTTTTAGGGAATTCCAGGAAACGACGGGGAGCCCGGACAATCAGGAGAGCCCGGAGAAAATGTAAGTAGCAAATGATCAAACTTTTTTTTAAAAGGTTAAAGAAGTATGACAACACGCATTTGCACTCTCGGTATTTTAAAGTGGACTTCTTCTCAGTTTATCACAGTACAAAGAGTATTATTTAGAGATTTTTATTTCCCCTGATACTGATTGAATCTCAGTAGCACACTCATATCTTTACGTTGCGAACTCTGCCCTTAACCTGACGCCTTGCACCATCTCTTGCAAATAATGAACGAAATCAGTATTTTACCAAGACTTAATATACTTAATTACTGAAATGAAGTTACCCAAGGCCTCGTCCACGGCACGCCTCGTCCACACTACGCCGGAGAAATTTAAAAACGCAACAATCGCCGGTCATTTTGGATTTGTGTTTGAGGGAAACATAACACGGTTATTGTGACGTCATCATTTACGAAAAGCTCTGTTTTTTAAATGTTTTCCGTCGACATTAAAGCGCAAAGCCAACGTCTTCAAATCATCCGGTTTCATGAGCGTTTTCGGAAAGCTCCATTTTCTTGACGGATTGGTGTGGACGGTAGGCCTAACCGTAGAAATGAAGCTGAGTTTTCACTTGAAATTTCTCCGGCTTAGCGTGCACGGGGCCCTAAGCGGAAACACAAAATATATAACTACTACCAGCTTTTTCAAGTGACAGCTCCGAAAGTAGTTGATTCTTCTTAGGGAACTTTATTTAAGTATGTTTTCAACAGCATCGAGAAGAAACATTTGCACGAGTACCTTACTTATTATTATTTTCCAAATAATGATATTCCCAGGGGGACGAAGGAGAACTGGGCCCTCCGGGTAAACCTGGAAGCTATGGCGTTCTTGGACTTCTGGGGGAATCAGGAACAAAGGGCGAGATCGGCGTTCAAGGAGATCTGGTAAGAATCACTGTAATGGAGACAACTGCCTTGCGCTATTTGCTTATCTTTTATTTATTTGTTTATTCATTTTTTTTTTTTTTATTAGTATACACTCAGTGAGTTCCATTTGAAATCCATGAATCTGATTTTAATTAACTCCTTACTTTTGGCTTAGAAATACATAAACATTTTAGCTTTTAAACGTCCATTATTCAGACCGCTCACTTCGTTTTCTAGTCGCTCATAGAACATTCGGGCTGTAGTGCAATTGTTTTAAAATAAAAACAGACGCTAATTTGCCTGATTACGTTGTGGTTCTATGGAGGACTGCCTCTTTTTTCTCTACAATATTCTTACTTATTGTTTCCAGGGAGACGATGGTGCAGATGGAAGCGTAGGAGAGAGAGGGCAAAGTGGACTAGAGGTTTGAATAGNTTCCTCCATCCTCCTTGAACAATGTCAAAAAATATAAGTTTGCCTGTATTTTGAGTTTCAAACTTGGCGTTTCTCACTGATCCCATTCTTAAGCCTTCGGACGTACAATGAGGGGAGTGGGATAAATGCCACCCCTTTAAAGACTGCGAGCAGTCTCTCTTCTGCTGTAATATCCGCGGGAAACACAAAACCTTAGATGCTGTGCACGTCTGCTCCGAGATTAGCTTGGGAAGAAGGCCCATTTGGGGAGTTATCTCTCGTACCCTCCATCCCCTCTTGCTATGCCTGGTTTATGTCAGGAAAGATTACGAAATAATTACGTTGAAATAAGTGGCCAGTTTTTCTAAGATTTGCGGTCCTTAAATGTTTCGTCGCCTTGAATTTATTGAGATCCTAAATGTGAATTTATCTCTTGGTGTACCAGGGCATGCAAGGCGAACGCGGACAAGATGCAGGTATCGGCCCTCCTGGACCAAAGGTAACATACTCAAAGATTTCATCCGCTAGATGAGAGTTAGCGGCCATTGCAAAAAGTGAAGAGTGTTGACAACGATTGTTTTGTGATTACGATAGGGCGTGATGGGACCTCAAGGAATACCGGGACCACAAGGCTATAGTGGAGACGAGGTAAATGAAGTCTTGATAATTATATAGTTTACCTGGCTGTTGCCAATCAGTTCTTCTGGCGACTCAGTTTTACGGAAGAATCTGAGCTCAAATTAGACCGAGGTCAACATTACAATTAAAATTTCTTTTAAGTTGATGTGATTTAATTTCCTCATTGTTTGCCGAGTGAGTGATTAGATTCTGATTAGAGATAGTTTTGACAGTAGTTCTTTCAGACAAATTATTGGCCAAGATATTTGAATAAGGCAGACAAATAATTCGTCAAAAATGTACCAGGTGTACGGCGGACGATTCAGTGTAATCCTGAAACATCCAACATTCATATGGCTTCTATCCACGGTTATATGTGCGTTGCGTGTCAATTCTCAGTTTGGAAGACTTTTATCGGCAATACACAATTGCATACACAGTTGGGAGCCAACACTGATTATCATAACTCCCCCCCCCCCCCCCCCCCCCNTTGTGTTATACTTTAGAGTGTGTAATATCTTTTTTTTTCCTTCAGGGAATCACGGGACCTCAAGGTGACCACGGAACTCCTGTAAGTAATATAACTAAACCGCAGCTTTTTTTTACTTTATGTTGTTGCAAGCGATTCACGCTTCTCGCTTTTGTCTACGTGGTAAGAGGTCTTCAGTATCAAAATTCAACTTGAGAATATATGAAGGAGGCATTCAAAAAGATTCAAATTGAGGGAGAGAGCCGGTCAAGTGAATGGACATTCTTCGACCATTCCCGTTTATTGACCTTTTTAGGTTGTTTATAAGGACTGTTATATGACTGGGATTCTTTAACAGGAAGTTAAACAAAACAAAACAAAAAACACACTTTTAACTTTATTACATAGAATTGTCTATGACAAGCTAATCTGGCATGGCCGCAATGCACCAATGCACTGTGAGCACATGAATAGCGTGTAAACATGTGGAATAGCGACTAAAAACAAAATCACTATATTTGTTGAGCAAAACTACGTTTCTGTACACATAAAAACACACAGAAAAACACAAAACAAAAAAGACGCAACCAACTGGGTCAAAACAGTGTAATCCACCTGGTTGCTAATATTAAGTTAAAACAATTTACAGTAATTTTAATTATTTTTTTGTTTTGTTTTGTTTCTAGGGTGAAAGAGGCAGAACGGTAATGTTTATTTTGTCCGTTACATAAAATAGCACATAACACATCCTAACCTGATTATACTGTTAGCGTAGAGTGGCAGTAAATTTTGGAATGCTGGAAACTACACTGCCTTTGTTTTATATCAACGAAAGAGCTTTGTTCTAAGCACGTTGAATGACAAAATACCTGACGTTTCGTGGTGCGTGTGCTTCTTTATCCGGGATACAAAAACACCGTGAAATATCTCTGATGAAGAAAGTACAAGTACTGTGTGTCAAACTGCCAATTATTTTTTATCTATATAAAGAAGGATAATTATTGTCATTGTGCATCAATCTTACTTAGCTTTCTTATCTAGAATGGACATTATTTCTAGTTACCTCTCATAACCCGTGCATTGACAAATTCCTAATTCCAAGCTTTTTAACTGAACATTGCATGAAAACTTACCGTGAAGGCCTACATCCTACAATATCAGCGGGTTTAATAAGATCAATTGGGTTAAAGCAAGCAAAACAATGGTGTCTGCTCAGACATTGAATATCCCTAGGATCCGGATTGCAAGCATTATTGAAGCCCATCTATGGGCGGAAGTTTGAATGCCAACCACGCGCTCAATAATTCTAAATGTATTGTACTTTCGCCAAGAATGTTTCTTTTAATTTAAACAGCTAACATTGTTTTCTTTCTACAGGGAACCGAAGGACCACAAGTAAGTTATTTCATGTTCGTTTTGTCAGCTATTACACATACCTTGCAATACGCTAAGAACTGAATCAAAGGATAAAACACTGCATTTCAGTGATGATTTATGTGATATGACATGAGCCTTCGTATCTGAGCGGAACATTTTTAAAAGTTGATCGTCTTCATCTTTTTCCTGCAATTCAAATGCAATTTGTTTCAAGATGTTATTTTTCCCTATAGGGACCTCCTGGACCGCCCGGCCCACCTGGAGAACAGGTCAGTTGATGTTTTCATTGACGACAAGTCCTCCAAGTTAACATGCTTTGGAGTTTTAAACCCACGTGCAGAATTTCCGTAGCCCCTCGAACCCCCGTGTGTGAATCCCTTACTCTTTTCATCTCTTTTCGATTTCCACACTATGCCAGAGAAATTTGAAAGCGAAACTTTATTTCTACGGTTAGGCCTTTCGTCCACACTAATTCATCACAAAAACGGAGCTTTTCGAAAACGCCCTTCAAACCGAAGGAATTTGAAAACGCCGGCTTTGCGTTTTAGCTTGGACGGAAGACGTTTTGTAAACGGAGCTTTCTGAAAACGATGACGAAAATGACAGCGATTGTTGCGTTTTCAGTTTTCTCCGGCGTAGTGTGGACAGAAAACAGTTGATGGGTTTCAGAGTAAGAACGCCGTTTTCAAATTTCTCCGGCGTAGTGTGGAGGCAGCCTTTCGATCTCTTTTTGTCTCTTTTCGAGTCAACTTACGCAATTGTATAGTGCAATGATGACTGTTATGTTTTTTTGTGTGTGTTTACAAACAGGGTATTCCAGGCAAAGCGTCAGTCTCTTGGGTAGGGAGCTCTGTTTGTTGTTGTATTAGTTATTATTTTGAGAAGGATCGGTTTTCTGTCTAACATTGATATAATTCATTGCGACTCTTATTTTTAGGTTTACGAAAATCAATTACAGCAAAATAAAGGTCCAGGATTTAGACTGTACTCAACTGAAGAGGTACTGTAGCTTGATTGAGCATTTTGTAATAACTACGGTAGACGGATCTTGCTTTAGGTGACAAAAGTAGTTGAGACACTTTTAGTGGGGGTGGGGAATGGTTTCGAAAATAGAGTTTCACAGTGAGGTGTCTCAACGCTTATACAAATATTGTTTGTGATGTTTATAAGTTTTTAATTCAGTTTAAATTCTTCGTTCCTACATATAGCTGACGCTTGTCTGTTACCTTTTTCCCTGTAGGGAAAATCTAGTGCCGTTTGGAATTATCTCAGAGGCCTTGGCAATGTTATTTATTTCTACAAATCACAAAACGGCACCAGAATATCCCCAGCGCGTTCTTGTAGGGAACTTCATCTGGAACATCCTGGTTATCCAAGTGGTAGGTGAATTATGAAACATTGTATGCAAGGTCGGAACCAAACCAAGCAAATTGGCTTCTTTTTTGAACAACAAGAATAGTGCAGCATGTATTCTTTGACTTTTGTCTCCAACATCCGCCCGCTTCCCACACAACAACAAAATGACAACGGTACCTCTAAATTCGCCGTAACTGGGATGTCGTCATTTTGTCATTTAAGTTTGAAAATAAGATCTCAGATTTTTATTGCGAAAGAAATTTTGGTTCTGAGCGCTGGTAAGTGAGCGAAACCACCTTTTACTAGGAATTGATATTCGTAAATTGACCTCCTGTTAGGTAGGTAGCTTACGATTCTGAATGTCACTCCGTCCTTACAATGATAAGCTCCAGGTTAATAGTCGCACACGCTTGAATCGAAAGGTCAAACTGTTTAAATCTTCAGTTATACAAAACATAGTTTATTCATAACTTTTAATTTCTTTAAGGTAAATATTGGATTGATCCAAACGAAGGATGTACCAGTGACGCGGAATATGCTTATTGCGACTTCGAACGAGGTGCCTCCTGTATATTTCCAAAGAACAACAAGGTTTGCCGATTTCCTGTTTCCAATCTACTTAATCTTTCGTTCTTTAGCCGTGTATTTTGAGCTTGCATGAAATTATCACCGTCATTCCTTCGTATGCCAGGCCAAGGGAATAGTATAACAAAGTATAACAAACTCTTCAGCATCCTACATCGCACAGTTGCCTTTTTATGGTCTCAGCGCTAGCCTTAGATCTCAAGGACGAGGCGGCGTGGCCGAGTGGTTACGGCGCTGGACTTGAAATTCGAAGGTCGCGGGTTCAAGTCCCGCTCTGACCGCTTAGCTGGAGTTGTTTCTCGGTAGACCTTACTTCAACTACTCGGTCATGCTCGCCTGTCTCCCGCCAGCTGGGATTTTAAAGCCTGTTATGTTTAGTTAATATATTTGTTTCTTTCAGTTTAAGTGGCATGCCTATGAACTAGCTGGTGTAACTAAGCGCATTGACCACTATAAACAACAACAACAACAACAACAACAAGCTCCCTATCGAAGATGACCGACCAATCCTTGTACTTGGAACTAATCATGCACAATATCATTACAGGTTAAAGACCTCGATGCAAAACCATTTCGGTGGATGAGTGAAAGATCTCCACGCGGAGAACTTGTAAGTAAAAACTGAGGTTTGATACTAAAAAGACACTACTAAGATCGTCACCGAGTTTTATCATGCCACCACCATCTGAATTTGCGCTCGTTTCTATCTTCGTCGAAGCATATTTCACGTCTACCGTTTGTTGTGTCCCGGGTTTGCAAAGCAGTACTAAATCCATCGGCTCATAAATTAAGTAATTCATGTTATTGTTATCTCTTCATCTCAATCGTTACTCGCATCAACTGACTGGCGTTTGGGTCTTCCTATACTGCTGCGCTGAAATTATCTTCATTTTGCAGATAAATTACAGCATGATTCCTGTGCAGATGAAATTCTTGAGACTTCTAAGCAGGAGTGTGTATCAGAACATAACATATCACTGTTATAATTCCCGAGCCTGGGACGAACAGGAAGGCCGTACCATTAGACTGCAAGGAGACAACGAGATGGAGCTGACAAGCTTTTTGAAGACCAAACCCATTGTGCTAAAGAATGGATGCAAGGTAAAGGTGTTATGACATTTGCAGAGATGTAACGACGTTTTTTTTTTCGTGTAATAATTTGAAAGGCTCGCTCAGTTAAGGCTCAGGTCGAAAGTCCGTTGCAGAAGATTTCATTTTTTTTCTTTTTTTATCGTATATGTGTTATTGAACGGTGGTTGAGAGAGACAGCGAGAGTAGGGAAAACTTAGATGAAATGTTGCTTGCACTGAAGTCTTATCCTGTATATGAGAAAAGTCCTTTCCGGTTAGGCTATTCTTTCCTTTAACACAGGCTCTAACTCCAGATAATGGAATTCCGTAGATATTAACTCTACTTGTGGTAAATGGTATACAAAGAACATGCATCGATCTTTGAATTCGTCCGCGCTAATTAGTTGAGAGGTATGGTCGATGATATTATAAACTGTACATCCAATGACGTAGTTGTAACGCAACAAAACGCAACTTTCGGAAAACTTCAGAAATTATCCGACTTTCCTAAGAAACTGGAATCGGCCACTGGAAAAATATCGATTGGAAGATTTCGGGCGCAATTCCGCTTCCAGCGTAAAAAAAAATAGTGCGCGATCGATCGATAAAACAATGTCGATGGATCGTTGGATTTGTGGGTCGATTTATCGACTGACCGACTGACTGATCGATCTGATATATCGATCTTATTTAGTAGTCAATTGATTGACTGGTTAATTTCATGTGTATTTTATATTTTGTATCTCGCAGGTAGCAGACAACGAATGGCATCAAACAATATTGGAGTTCAACACAACTAGCAAGGAAGCATTACCAATCGTTGACGTTGCTCCTTTCGACATAAATAATTCACGTAAAAAGCAAGAGTTTTTCTTGGAATTGGGGCCCGTCTGTTTTTTGTACTAATTTCGCCATAAATGACTCTCGATCATCCGGCCCATTCACACGTTATTCATCTGCTCTAACCGTACAATGCGTGTGGTTACTAACTGGATTGGAGCGAAACGAATAGATAAAGATATGATACCAATATACAAATTATCTCTTTTACTCGCGAAAATGTGTTTTATTTATTTATTGCAGGTTTGAAATTTCTTAAAAGCTGAATTAAGTACATACCTCATCACATAGGATTTCCACGAAACCCTCGCTTTCCTCTTGCCAGTAACCTTACGAGTTCTTGAACAAAAGTTTTAGAAGCTTACTTTCAATTACGTAGTCTGTATTTTCTAACATCTAGGCAAACTCATTCAATTGTTTATACGATTTTTCTTGTATATTAAGTGCGCTGGAATCGCTATATTTATTCTAAGTGAAAAATCATAAAATACCTCAGTTTAAGAAGCCAAAAGTCTACCTATACGCTGTTAATTATGAATTGTGCTCAGCTGTGTACATTTGATTTTCAATATTCCAAGTTTGCTTGGAGTCCAAGGTGACTCTCCAAGCAAGGGGTTTGCTTATGTTAACAAATGTCTCCATACGGGTATAGAATAAATCCTTTTTCTTGTTCTTGTGCCTGTTAAAATCGATATTAATATAGTTGAAAACTGCCTAGTACGATTTGACCTCGTCTCTCAGTTCCCACAAATAATTTAACTTTTTTAATGGAAGTATGCTATTCATACCATTTGCATTTATAACAGTATTTGTACCAGTATCCAACAGCTTTCATATTACTCTGGAGATCTAACTTCTAACAACATGTCTGTTAGTTTACATGAACTCGGCTTCTAGATTATGGAAGGCTAAAGCCGGTTTACAGTCGGCCCACTTCACCCCTCCCCCACCCCCCGCCTCCCGCCTCCCCCCTCCCCCGAACCGATTCCCTGCTCCCAAATGAGCCTTAACTAATGGCCAAGCAATTTTGAGAATGGGAAAGGGTTCCATCCAAACGACAATGGCTAATTCCCTCCATGAGAAACGTCTGTAGGGAATCATGGTAGTTGTATTCATCATCTTGGACTGGATACTTGTTTTAATGAAAACAACCACCATGATTCCCTGCAGGCATGTCTCATAGAGACTTAGATAATGACAACAACCTTTTGGTAAGTATACCTGTCGTCGCGGACACTAGAAATGATTTCTTTTCGCCCAGGACGGATATTAATTTTACACTGATCAACCACCTCAGCAATATTATAATCTCAAACTCACCAGGTTACAAGATTGAACCATTTTAATTTTTTTTCCCTAGCGGAGAGGGAACAATATGATACAGGATGATAGAATGACATATACTTTAAAAGTAGAGGTCGTTACATTTAATTAACGTACGTCATAAATATATATTCTCTAGCTTCTTGTATTAGTCGATCCTCTCCACGACTGAAAGGCTTAAGTCTGGTCTCGGACTTAGGCCTTCCGCACAACCAGGGCAAAATCAAATATTACAATTTTTACTCAGCTTGAATACTGTGCAGGTACATGATCAGAATCGGGCTAACCTTGACTTTGCACTTTGATTTAATCACAGTTTTACAGGTCAATACCCAGGTTCTGGAGGTTTTCTCTTTTCCTTTTCGTTAACAAATGTGAGCCACGAGCAAGAAGAAGGAAAACCTCTGGCACCAGGATAACTGATCTTGAGGATGTCTGTCTTAGATAGGGTCTTGTAGAAGCTCTCGAAATGTCCCACATGAATGGCTCGATATCCTTCTTTGAGAGAACAATAGACCAAACAACAAAAACAATGCCCCTAGCCCTAAAACAATAACAGCTGGTACAATAATAAAACAATACCAGCTTACGAGAGCTGCTACACTTTCAGAGAGTTGCTCTGGTCCCGCTCTCCACCACTGACAAAGTAAGAAGTCCTGCACAGCGATTTGGTTAATTTTGTCAGCTTTGACTGTATATCCAAAAGTGTTTCTCATCAGGCATGTACAAAGCTGCAACGAAAAATTCATGAAATGATAAAACTTGTTCTTTCTCCGGATAAGTGGATACGGCTTCATGAAGGCCGCATGCGAGGGTTCGTATGACTAAGCTGAACTGTTTTCGAGTCAGGGATATACCGCCATATCGTTGCCATGGCAACTGTTTTCGATCAGGAACATGCCGTCATACTGTTTCCATGGCAAGTTTTAATGCCACGAAAATGATCATAAGTTGTTCGCCAGTGTTTGACCACAAGATCATTCTGATTGATTGATTGATTGTTTATTTACCTATGTTTAAAATCATTTACAATATGAATTGTGACAAAAGTAAGATAACTATTCGAGAGGGAAACTGACGGAAGCCTGGCCAATACCGTAATATCAACGAAATGTTAGGATTGATCTTTTAAATTGCGGAAGTGCTGAAAAGTGCCCTTAAACTGGAAAAAGTGAGCGAAAGGAAAAAGAGACATAAAAAGTAGTCAGCAACGAATGGTATCTGTGGTTTGTAACTATTTTTTTGCTGCGAGCTGCTTTTAGGGGAATTCAGTCTATGAATGCGTTGCTAACGATAAATGTTTGAAACTGGTAAAATCCATGAGTTACACAAATTATGTATCGCAGACTAAATTACTGTGGGCTCGCAATATAACTCACGTAATACATGAGTCAAAATTCTATGTGAGGTCAAATCCCGGCCCAAGCCACCTGAATTAGAACAATGATGCGTTCTTTCATCCGTTTCTTTTATAAATGCCTTTTTGTCTTGTTCACAAATCATCACCGACAAATGATTTTAATCACAGGCGTGAAATAGAGATACTTAAAAATGGTTAACAAAGCACACACAAGCCAAACATCATCAAAAACTGGGCCTCATCAACAACTCGGTTAAAAACTAACGCAACGGTGTGCTTTGAAAAATCTTTCACTTAGAACAATAAATTATTAACCCGGCTAGACACAACATTGAGCTCTCCTGTTTAGTGGACTTCTCCAAAATGAGCCCTGTTTGGAAACACCAGCATATATCTCGACATGGGTTATTTAAGTGAAACAAAAAACCTCTAAAGATATCATTTTTTCTAGAGCAATATCTTAAAAGGACGAAAGTTGAACCGTTACAACAGCGTTGTGTTACAATGTCTGAATGAACCGTGAATGCCATGTCCTTGAGAACCAAACGACAGCAACTCATATTTCACAAGGGCCTATTGAGTCCTGGTTCTCGCGCGCACGCGACAGACTCGCTGCTCCATCCTTCTTGGTCAGTATTGGCTTCATAAATGGTCTGAGAGTAGTGTCATTGGCCACTAACCGTGCGAGGACAGACCATGTATATATTTACTTTGCCTCGATTACTTCTTCTTGGCGTCTTCGTAATGAAAACATCCACAGCACGTAAGTAGCTGTAACGTAACGTGCAAGATTTTAGAATCGTCATATTTTCCTATATTGTGATATTATTGCAAATTCGACAAATGATTCATATTCTACCAAAATTCCAGTAAAGTGTTTTAAATGCCAGATGCCCTGTGACGAAGTATTCGGTCGACATCCGGAGGAATTTTTGTGCGAGGCTTCTTGTCTATACGGGGGCTGCACATGATGGACAAAGATAATTGTCTTTCACGACCGTGATCTCTCGTCGGCTGTCGTTATGCCCTATTTCCCGGCTATTTCTGGTGTGTTTTCAATGTGTAATCGACGTGCGTAAATTGAAGAATTAGACATCGCATTTATATATTTCAATCTGTGTTTAATTTCTGCAAATATATCGACAGTATTCGCAACAAAGAGCTACTCATGTCATATCAAGAAAAGAAACAGTTTTGATACCGAGACAGACAAACGGCATTGTGTAAGTCGTGTAACGTTCCAAAATAACAGTCAGATGTGAAAATAACGCGATATAGAGCGCTCATAATGACCTCGATGAAATTTCGAAGCCCTACTAGGGTTTAGCCCTATTAGAGTTTAGAGCGGTTTTCAAGTAAGTGTCGAAAGTAATATTAGACAATTACTCTGGTTTTGGTTTGGGTTTGGGTTTAACTAAGGTTTGAGATCGCCTGAGTGTTCTAATTAGTTTGGTTTAGTTTTACGACGCTTAATTGAAAACCAGGGAGAAATTCCTAGATATCGGACATCAAATTTGTTATTTTTGAACGAATAAAATAGACCACTGATCATTGTAAGAGATGTACATAGTTTGAAATCAGACCTATCCAGGACCTCAATGAAGTTAGCTTGTAAACAGGCTCTCTTTGGGTTATAAAGCGTTTTCATTGTCACGCAATAAAAAGTAAAATCAAAAACCATTCGGTGGATAAGGTCAAGAAATTGTGATATTACAGAAGATAAATAAAGAGGACAGTTCGTCAAGTCTAAGGTGTGTGCGTTGTCCCATATATAGTTGAGAGATTCGTCGAAATGTTCCGCGCAAAATTATAGAACCGCCATGTTGGTGGACCTCCTTAGTCCTCCAATATAGTGCGCAAATTTAATTTACAGAGCCTGGTATAGAGCCACTATGTTGGTGCCCGCTGTGGTATACCAATACGGCGCCCGGAAAATAGTATTAACATCTGGAACTTACTTTGGCTATCTAGGACACTGATTAACTGCACTGAACAAACAAACATTTAAATATTAAGCACTTTTCCAAATACTCTAAAGTCTTAAATGGCTAAAAATCACGAGACAAATACATGTTTTTCGACAAACGTAGTTTGGCGTTTTCATCTTGTTTCTTTATAAAATAGAAAGCCTACAATTTTAACGGGCTACGGTTTCGACCAATTTCCCTACACTCCTAGAGTACAATTGAAAAAGTCCAATGTTTACTAGCCTGACGGATTTCCGGCTTTGATCCGTCTGTGTTCCCAGCCTAAATGTTTACTATGTTTAGGATTTACGCGCTATCACAAATGGGTCCAAAATGAGAGTACGGACATTGCCATAGCAGCGGCATTTTGACAGAATTCTTCGTGTGTTCCAGTTCTCTTGAGCAACTTTGCAGAACTAGCACCTTCTTGCATCCTAGTATTATTATATTGGGTAATTTCCCATCAATGGCCCTCTTCCTCTTTGATACGCGCGTGCAGGGAATTATGGTAGTTGTATTCATCGTATGAGACTGGGTATTTGTTTTGATAAATACAACTACCATGATTTCCTACAGGCGTGTCTCATACAGGGAAAGGGCCACACACATTATTTTCTGAATTTCTAAGAGAATAGTGAAATTCAAAATGGAGGACTTAATGACGTTATGACCAACAAAAAAATGCTTGATCTTCTAGAGCAAGCTGAGGGTTTTCTATTCCACATCAAATAATGTGTGTATATCTAATTACAACGAAAACTTAGGGTAGGGATCCATCCACTTCCTTCCCCCTTGTACCACAGTTGGGTGAGTTTACATGTATGTCTGAGGGTTAAAATTATTTTAGTATTGTGATATTCATAGATTAATAGTGACATGTAACAGGAAGACATTTTTGCAACGTTCTTTGTCCATGTTTGTAAAGTGTAACGATATCGCACTTTTATGTCACACAGAAAGGATAGACGATCCATGCATTCTCGACCTCGCATTTATTCTGGACGCTTCCGGGAGCATTGAGTTAGCCTGGCCCGATGTCCGGAGATTTGTTGCTGGAGTTGTTGACTTAGTGAACGTATCATCTGCGGGAACACATGTTGGTATAATAAAGTTCGGCTCAGACTCCGACATCGTATTTGGGTTTAACGAGGGTCAAGACAAAGACGCCGTTATTAGAAGAGTCTTATCTCTCCCTGGGCCTATACCGTTTGATAACACGCAAATACACAAGGCGTTGAACGATGCAAATGATAAACTTTTCGATCCAGTGACAAATACCTATGGATTCAGAACAGAGGAGAATGTACGAAAGGTGAGGTAGATTCGGTGATATGATTCCCGCTCAAAACCGGACCAGTCTAGGCATTCACCCGAGGCCAGTTCAGGTTTGGACCAGAACGATTCCAAAGCTGGCCTGGATAATTATAAGAATGAATAAAAGTTGTTGTTATTGGACCTAGTCTGGCCTAGACCCAATATGACCTGGACCCATTCTGGTCTGGACCCAGTCTGACCTGGACCCAATCTGGATTACACTGATTCTAAATCTGTAATGTTTCTTATTTTTTCATACAGGTTGTTCTAATTGTAACCGATGGTGTTCAAACTCCTCCGGGCAATCCTTATATACCAGCTAATAAACTGAAAGACAGGCGCTTTGAGATTTACACTGTTGGCGCAGGAGAGGCCAAATTTCACTACCGTGAATTGGAGAAACTGAAAAACAAAGACGTTTTCTTTGTTCCCGAAGCAAGGGAGCTACCTAACCTGATTAACCAAGTGGCCCAGTCAATATGCCCAAGTGAGTAAGACAATAGAGTGCAGGGTGGGAAGGGTTGTCTCAAATCGGCTGAGAGTTTCTATTCCTTCCAGAGCCAGGGGGGTTCCTCCTTCCCCCAAGTATCTCCAAAGGTGTTCAATAATAATGAAATTTGCATCATGGGAAAAGCCTTCGAAGTTTTTTGTTTTGGCGACTTATATTTTATTTCTTCGTGAGCCTGATATTTTTTGTGCACACCCCCTTCCCCCCCCCCCTCCACCCCAAGTGTCTCCAAAAGTGTTCACTCAATAGTAATCAAACTTACATGATGTGCAAAGCATTCGAAGCCGATAACTTAAGCGATAATCATGTGTTAGTCATGATGTCAAAGAACCTGGACAAGACGGTGGATTCAAAGACATCATGTGACACGACAGCATGATCAACAAAAAAAGACATTTTCTTTGGACCAAGCGGAGGACTATTTTAACATTTTGGATGTTAGTAGTACAACAAAATCTCAGGGAAGGCCTCCATCCAACACCCCCTTTCCCCCCCTCCCCCTTGTGCTACACTACGGGAATGAGTTTGCCTGTACGTCCAATGGTCAAGGGTCAAGGGCCTCGACCATAATTTGCCGGGAGTAAGAGTTGATCAGTCTCTTCAAAGCTATGTACTAATGTCACCAGTTTAGAGTTCAGGCATCTCAAATTTCGGGCGCGGGAAGATTTCAGAATGCAAAGTTAGTCAGGCTAATTCAATACTACCTTGTAACTATTTTTTTATTATTATTTTCCTTCCCCTTTAGGATCTATCAGCATAACGGTAAGTGAATCTATATCTGCTGTTTCTTTCTGCGTTTTAAGATCTACTAGACTATTTAAAAATTACTTTCCCGAACGCGCATTGAATATGAGTGAAAAATAATCAACGTCATCCAATAAACGTGATTGGAAATCGGATTCTTTTTTTAAATGACGAGGACGTTTCAGTTGAACCTAAACGAAGTGACTTTATAGCGAGGTGCTTACTGTTGAGTCTTGATGAAACTCGTCAAGAAAGCGCTCAGGAGAATATATTACTTTGTAAATATTCTATGCTCAGTCTCCTCTTAAGTTGCTTTTAGCAAAGTGGTAAGAAGAGATAATGGTTGCAGCGAGGCTCCGAAATAATGGCAGAGCTGAATAGGTTATTCTCATACAAGTCAAGCCCAGAGTGAGTTTACTTGTATACAGCACATCGCGCGGCAGGGCACAGGGGAATAAATTCGTTGAACCTATCAAAAAAAGGAACTAGCTTTTCACAACTGCATTGTTGGGTTGATAGTTTGAGAGGCACCAAAAACCAGCTGTCACATCATATAGAAACTGAGAGCCGGCTGTGTGATCGATTCACTGACAATTAAAAAAGTAGAAGAAGTTCAAACTATAAGAATAAAAGGTTGGCCTGCTCTTGAGCTTGACTGAGACGGTTCCTATGTAGCCGATCGGATTGTGCGTTCCCTGATAGTTGCCCAGTGAGTTTTGCTAATCGCTATTCATTTACGAGTGATCGTATCTTTAGGAGATAAAGTCGTTTTGGGCTGCACTTAATTTACTAAACTGGGTTATATTTTGTTGGATTGAGTTTTAGTAGAAAAATAGTCGCTGAAGATTCTAAAATGAAACTTTTATCTTCCTTCCCTCTCCGCCTCCACAACTAAGGCAGTAACAAGGGTTGCTTTCTATTTGCTAGGTCATTGGCCCTCCTGGCGAGTCCGGAGTGATAGGATTTAAGGTAAGTGAAAAAAGGCTCATTTATATAAATGCATACAGGTAATCGCTTGAGGCTTAGTAAAGTTTAGCATCTATAGAAATTTACAGAAGTTCTGTTGCCGCTTTTTCAAATGTGTCATAATAATGGTATAAAAGCTAGATGAAAGCAAGCTCGACGGAGGAATGAAGTTGATTTTGGTTTAACAAGCGTCCGGCCTGCAGGAAGATCAGTTGACTTTACCTTTACTGTCATGTTTCATCACTGATAGTTTAGCTTAACTTTGTCCATTACTGTTTTCAGGGTTTCGCAGGAGCACCCGGCACGCGTGGTAGATTAGGACCTGAGGGACCGAAGGTAGCTAATAATTAATCACGTCTGTTCCGTAAACTTGCAAAGTTCTTCTTGGTCCTACTTATATGCGGATGCAGATGAATACGTGAATGATATAAGGGAGGCCATGTTACGGTTATGTTTGACGCCATCAGGCAATATAAGTGATTTGTGGAGCTTGCAGAGAATGGGCATTAGCCACTAAGGATTCCGTCTTGGTTTTTATATGACGTAGTCATATTCCAAAATTAAAAATTACCTTCCTTCGAAGGTTTTAGCGTTATTAGATATAAGACCCTTTAGGAACTTGACGTTTTAGCTCGACAGCGCTCCTCATTTTGTTATAGAGTACGTTTGAATTTCGAAGCTTTTGCGTTGCGTGACATTAAATGGCGGCTCGAGAAGGCTGTAACTTAAGACAAAAGATGAATTATGGCTTTAGTTTCTGCTGAACAATTCTTGCACTAGAAGAAGCATTAATTTCAACGTGTCGGAGCTCTAGTAGTAACCTTTTCGTTTCAATAGCAAAACTCAATGACAGATGTTTCGGTTACTCTACGGCCACCGTATTTGTGCCCCTCGTCTCCATACAAAGCTCCATAAATTTGGGCGAAACACTTTTCCGAATGACGCGCGAATGAAAAACTACAGAAACCTAATTCTTGGCGCGATTTTTTTTATTTATCAATCATCTATCATATCTCTTATTCTTGACTTTTCTGATTCATTGAATGGTTACCAATTTTTAGTTTTGATCACAAGACCGGTGAAAACCCACAATACAGTGTAATTGCTGGGCTTTAAAGAAGCGCAGTCACGATATTTTGTGAAGTGAAGGTAACCTAAAAATTGCAGTTTACCAAGATAGAAAACAACGATGAGATTATAATCTACCATAAAGAAACAAAGATGGAGGGGATAACACAGATAACAAACGACCAACTTGAAAAAATAGGCTAAACTTTTCAAGATATGTAAACCTTGACGTAACTCTTTTAAGGCCGAGCTCAAGGAAGTTTCATTTGATTTCTTTTTGTGCGGAAATCCAACATTAGCAAATGAAATAAATAAACAAAACTAACAAACAAATTTTTAAAAAACAATAAACTAAATTACGCGCCTCGTTGCTTGATATGACAACTTTCCCCTATCTTGATTTGACGAAGCATTAAAGTCCGAAACATTAGTGACCAAGTTGTGCCTCGACAATGGCAAAACGTTAAATCTGATGACAGCGTTTCAGGATAAATAAATGTCGCTTATATATTTACTTGTGATATATTTTAGGGATTCCCTGGGAACAAAGGTGGAGAAGGTTCCAGAGGTGAACCAGGCCGTCAAGGGCCTCCCGGTCCACCTGGATCAGTCACAGGCTTACCAGTAAGTCATATTCAAAATATCAGTCACGGGCTTACCAGTAAGTCAAATTGAAAACCTCAGTCAAAGGCTTACCAGTAAGTCATATTCAAAACATGATCAGCCTAGATCAGTAACAGGCCTGCCAGTCAGTCATATTCAGAACATCAGTCACAGGCCTGCTAATCGGTCATATTCAAAATATCAGTCACAGATTACCAGTAAGGCATTTTCAGAACATATTCACCCTGGATCAGTCATAGGCTTACCAGTAGGCCAATTTCCATAAAAAATGAGAAGGAAAATTTTACAAAACCTGGTGAGAAAAAAACTTTCTGAAAATGCATCTCAGTTGAAGTCAGCGAATGGTAAAGCAGTTAGTTAACACCTCGTTTTATTTGATGGTGTGATATGGACGAAGCGGTATCACAGATAACATTGAAATATAAAGAATAGTGCACAGATTACACTGATAAAAGAGAATGATGTTTTATTCGATTTATGTTTTATTTTTGTTGCTGTATATGTTGATGTTTTTTTCATTTTCTTTTCTTCAAATTTAGAGAATTCCAGGGGAGAAAGGTCCTTTAATTCAAGTCAGCGTAGTTCCTGATTCGCAGGCTGCCGGGGTACGTTGTTTGTCTGTGTTTGTTTGTTTGTTGTTGTCATGGTTTTCGTTATTATTATTTTTGTTACGGTACATTGGATTGTTTGACTGTCTTTGATCAACGCTAATCAAGACGTCATTTCAATTGAAAGCGTCTAAAATAATCCGTTATTTTGATCTCATTCTCTTTTTCTAGCTTGGATTGCCTGGAAAAGAGGGAGATTCAGGACCTAAAGGATACGAAGTGAGACTAAGATCCTGAGAATTCTAGTTAGGAGTATTGGCTAAAAAAATGAGTTTTCTGACGTGAGTCAAAGTGCAAAAGACCATGAAGTGTGCGTAAACAACGAGCACAACAGACGCAAGCTTCTAGAAGGGTCCAGGGCCAAGCCTCCCCCCTCCCTCTCCCTGGGATATACTTTGGATTTTAATTGGCTAAGATCCCCTTTCTTGGGTCACTAAGTCATATGTTCTGAAAAATCTCACCGGTTTCCGTAAGACGGTTGAAACTGGCGTGGATCCGCGCCTCCTGGGAATTATGAACGGGGCCCAAATTTCGGATCAACAAATTGACGTCAGTTTTTTATGCGTGTGTCCTCTTATTGATGATAAATTGCGTCATAACATTGTCAAAGTGGCTGTGGAACCACGAGCCTCAGGCGAGTGGTTTCGCAGGGGTAAGTATAAAATAGTCTTTCAGTATGTTGTGCGCGCGGACCTGGCTCAGCAAAAGTTGTTTATGATAGCATAAACGAACTATAGACCCTTTTGACATCAGACCTTCATAGCTTGTTTCTCCTTTTTCGCAGGGAGAGTTCGGTTTACCAGGGAGAGAAGGAAATGCTGGAGACGATGGACAACCAGTATGACATCACTTCATGTTTTTGTTGCATGTCAAAAAGACATATCATGTGTGAATTCAACCGTCGTCCGAGATTGTCTTTCGAGAGCATTTTCACAAGTACACGACATCTATTTAAGAGTTGATGATCTGAATATATGAGGTTTTTTCGCGCGTTTCTATCTTATATTACATGTATTGATGTATTGTATATTTAGCAGTGATGTATTACTCTGTTTGTATTTGTAATTGTCGACTGTTGTTATTAATAGCTTTTTCACTGAAGCAATATCAATCAATTACTTGAACAGCTCACAAGAAGGAGATAGCATAGTTTTCAAATACGTGAACATTTAGAGGAGCAAAATAGTTACAGTCAAACATTGTTACAGTAAAGATCCTACATCTTGATGTTTTTGTTGTTGTTGTTGTTGTTGTTGTTGTTGTTGTTTTTCGCAGGGTTTTCAAGGTCCTCCTGGTCCGCCAGGCGAAACTGGCCCAGATGGAGCAAAAGTGAGTTAGTGTATCATTTAACAATTAGACCCGTAGCCCGCAAGGGTTTTACATGCGAACACGCTCGTACAGTGGAATCCCGAGCTCTCGAGCCCTCGTTTTTTTCCAAACTCCCGATAACTCGATCCAAAAGTCGTTTTCTTCACCTCAGTCGAACACTGTAATTTTATCCCCGATTTCTCGAACTATCTGATTTTTTGAACCAATTTTCGTTTACCTTGGCCGTTCGAAAAATCGGGATTCCACTATACATTTATTTCACTCGAGTCCAAATTAAAGAGCTACACCAGAAACGATGACCGTAATTTTATCAATTGAATGTTAATAGTTAATAAAAGAAAAGTACACTTTTTAACCTAAGGGACCCGAAGGCCAGAAGGGAAGTCCTGGTCCAGAGGGGTTCGAAGGAACCAGGGTAAGTGGAATTTATTACCATTATCGTTATCTTTGTCTTTGTCTTCGTCTTTGTCTTTGTCTTTGTCTTTGTCTTTGTCTTTGTCTTTGTCTTTGTCTTTGTCTTTGTCTTTGTCTTTGTCTTTGTCTTTGTCTTTGTCTTTGTCGCTGTCGCTGTCGCTGTCGCTTTCGCTGTTGCTGTCGTTGTCGTTATCGTTATTGTTGTTATTATTGTTACTTTCCAGGGCCCAATGGGGGACGAAGGTCCCATGGGAGCGCCCGGCCCTGTTGGCCCCGAGGGTCGAGAGGGACGGTTAGGCAGTGTGGGACAGCAGGGACAGGATGGTGAATTGGTAGGTTATTATGGGCGATGTCCAGACAGGCAGATAGAGAAACAGGCTCCAGTGCACAGTCAGTGTGCATGAAGAAACAATGATGGTGCATGCTACGATGCTAATCAAAACAAACCATTCAGCCGAATTATAATATTTCTTTAGCGTGAAAAATAACTATAACCATCCTTGTAGTGAAAATGTACATTTGCAGCAAAGTTTTCCTTCGAAGCCGGTTCAAGATAAAAAAATCAATTTAAAAATATATAGTTAATTTAAAGGGTTAGCACTCACTTAGTAGCCACATACTTGTAAGCTGTTTTGATCGTGGAAATCTTGTAACAAAAAAGTAACGAGTGAAAGGAACGACGAGGTCGCCACTCATTCTCTCAGCTCTCACTCCCACTTGCCAACTCGATTACTTTTTATCTTATTTCCTCGTTTATTGCCCTGCTTCGTCACAGTCGAAGAGCATTGTATTTTAACTCTGTACTTTAGTGTACGTTAAGTGTGCTTCTCACCATGTACACTTACTTTCACTGAAATAACTGAGTCTCTATATCATCTTATATAATATTTATTCAATTTTACCTTGTAGGGTCCTGCAGGTGGTACAGGAAATCCAGGGGCAGATGGGCAACCTGTGAGTCGAAATCATTATCTCTGCCATTTGGATTGCAACACTTCAACATCTTTGACAACGTGAAATACGATATCAGCCTCAGCCTAACAAGCTAAGGGCAATATTATTCGAGTTAAATGCTAAAGCTGCGGCTTCCTACTTTTTTTTTACTTAAATGAATCTACCATTTGTAACTGTAAATAAATCTACTTAAACAGGAATTCATTAACTCCCGACTATAGCTATGACGTTACTTTTCTTCGGGAGTTTGACAGTCTTTACAAACCGTGGTGATAACAGAAACAACTTCAATGAAACACTTTTTTGAATGATAATTGTGTTATTAAAAGTCTACTTATGTTAATTTAGGGCATGAATGGATTATCTGGTTCCAGCGGACCAGCTGGGTATCCCGGACCTCAAGTAAGGGCCTTTGTTTTCTTGTATTATTTTAAGTTTCTCTCAAAGTTAAGCTTTCTCTCTCCACGTCATTGATTCTTTGGTAAAAACACGTTGTAGCCATTTAATTAGTCAAATGCACAGGGGCTGTTGGCCAATTCAAGTTTAGTGAATTAGTGGTTTGCTAAAAAAATTGTTCGGGGAGGGGGCGGAAGGAACTGCTTTCTCGGTCTTTGTAACAAATTGAATCACTGGTTTTCATTTGTGCTTTACTTTAGTAATAACGTTTTCTTCTTAGGGGTTGGAAGGTAAGGAAGGACCAGGCGGCTCATTTGGAGCCCAGGTACGTGCGCAATTTGTGAGAGTAGAATGAACTGTTATTTCATCGTAATACGATGATAAAGTCAGGGTGTCGGGCAAAATAATGAATATGAACAACATTACAAAACAATGGCTTTAATATTCAGGTTAATGCTTTGAAAGAACTTTTCGAAGCGATAGACAAGAGGCAATTTAAGTTGCATTATGTTATTATTAAAGTGCTGTGCCTCGTGTTCACAACAAACACCACAACATTTATTATCTTTGATGAAAGTAAATAAAACAAGTAAATTGACAAAAGCATTAAAAAAAAGGCTCTTCCAGCACCTCAAACATAATATATACTCAGCTTAGCTACACAAATTAGACCTTTTAGAAGACTGGTACGAAGTGATAAAGAAATCTACATGTTGAATGTCCTGAGTGAAAGACCGAAAAAAGAATTTGAGACCTAAATTTCTAAAACTATTCATAACCTCCACCAGGGTCTTAAAGGCGCGACAGGCAGTCCCGGATTACCTGGTAAACCCGGAATTAAGGGAAGTCCTGGACAAGACGGCGACACTGGCCCGATGGGAGATGTCGGCGCTCCGGGTGAAACCGGAAGTGAAGGAATTCCTGGATCTGACGGCGGTTTAGGCGCACGAGGTTTTGCTGGCAGACAAGGAGAACTTGGAGGCTCGGTAAGCTTGTCAATGATTTTGATGTTGTTGTTGTTGTTGTTGTTGTTGTTGTTGTTGTTGTTGTTGTTCGTTTTGAAGTGGATTTTGTTGACATATACTGACATATAACTTAACTACACAACGCACTTCTCCTATTCTTGCCTGTCGGACAGAACTTTGAAATTCAAGCAAAGAATGAAAGAAACTATTAAAAGCCCAAGTGAATATATTGCTGACAAATCCGAGCTTACGCGGAGCGTTAGCAGGTCATAAGGTGGAGTGGAGCTGCGTGGACCTCTAAAACGCTGCTCTAGACTCTGTTTCCATTGATAGTTTTCCATCACCTCAGTCCAGGACTGCCACCCTTCTCTGAACCGCTTCCTTCCCACTGAACGTCGCCACGTTGTTTTTGGCCTACCTCTCATTCTCTTTTCCTCGATCGGGAAAAAAAACCTGGTTCTCAGTTAAATCTAAAAGCCTTTGTTATCCATTTTAGGGAGACTCTGGGCCAGCTGGACCAACGGGAGGACAGGGACCTGGAGGAGTTATTGTGAGCAGAAAGAAAAATAACTTAACTTAACTTTGTGCTGTATTTGAGACATAAGCCAAAAAATATAATCTGTTTCAATGTGTTTGTAACGTGCCATTAACGTGCAATGTATCTTGGACAGGGTCAACCAGGCGATACGGGACCTGCCGGCGCTAAAGGAACTAAGGTATTGTCACATTCACGTCCGATAAAGACGGGAAACTAAGTCCATGGAGATCCAAAACTTTCCAGTAAGAATTAATTGTGCAAAGTAAACGTTTGTCCTCAGTTGTTGCGTAAGAATATGTTTTATTTTCACCGAGATAAGTTGTTTAAGTCGATCGCGAACCTCTTGTGACGGGCACTTCAATGATTAGGACTCCTCTATATCAAGGCAGTTGTTCACTTGGTCCCAGAGATATCAAAATTAATATTATCTCTACCCCGGTAAGGCGAACACTCTGTTTTCTCCAGTGCTGTCAGTATAAACGAGGTACTGTTTTTAGGAGGCAGCGTGGCCGAGTGGTTAGGGCGCCGGACTTGAAAACCGGAGGTTGCGAGTTTAAGTCCCATTCTGACAACCAGCTGGTGTTGTTTCTCGGTAGTCCCGAGTTCAATTTCTCGGTCACGCTTGTAAAGAGCCAACTGGTCCGCCTCCTACCAGTTGAGATTTTACCACGTTATGCTCATTTGCATTTTATTTGTTTCATCAGTTGTTTCCACTGGCCCTGAAAAACCGTGGGGGAGTGGTCAATTAGNGGCAATTTCGAAAAGTAGACATAACAAGCGACAGAATAACGAAAAAAAATTCGCTTCATAGGCACTTTAAGGCATAATTTATCCTCTTTCAGGGCGGACCCGGTGTACGTGGACCTTTAGGATCATCGGGACAAGATGGACCAACGGTTAGTTTGCATGTACAACACTATACACATCTAATCAAAGTCCATCTTAGATGCAAAAAAAAAAATAGTCAACCGTTTTATGTAATTAACATTGAGTGGTTAGCTCACGAATAAATTAGGTGGGTTTAATGTTGAAGACATCTGTCTGCACGCATGAACAAGGGCAATAGTAAGGTAAGGCAACTTTAAGTCTGCATACGAGCTAAGTAGCCCATCGGGCTGGAGCTTATCCCGGTTTCTGTAGCATGAAGCGACTAAGAGTATTTCTATTTCTCCCTGGATGGGATGGTAGTCCATCGCAGGGTTAGCTCCTGCATTAAATTCGCCGGTACTCATTTGAACACCTGGCCGGAGAGGGGTACTGTGAGAGCAAAGAGTCTTGCTCAAGAACACAACACAACGTCCCCGGCCAGGGCTCGATCCCGGACCACTCGATCCGGAGGCGATGAGGCCACCGCACCTCCCGGGCAATGGTGTACCTTCGTAATTGCGAAATGTGCACAGTAAGGAAATATGTGTAAAATTGGAAGCAACTGTAAGTTACAACGACTGCGCAGGTCACGGAGAACTCGGCGATCAAAGCAACGCTTAAAACCTTAACATAGGAATGGCCGATAACCTTGATAATTGAAGGATTACTGACCATACCAATAATGTCTGCAGGGAGGACTGGGTGACGAAGGAAGTGTTGGAAAAAGTGGTCGCAACGGAAATAAGGTGATCGTATTTTCTAGTTTGAATGTTAACACTCGATGAAAGAAGAGACGTTCTTTTAGGTTGGCCGTACCTGCCTGTATTTACGAAGGTTCAGGATTAAGTCTATGTAGTGTCTGCATACTGTGGTCTTTTGCCGGCTCTCGATGGCGGCTTTATTGAGGGAAAGACTAAATTGCCCTCTTGCTTGTATTAGAATTTTCCATTTTAGGTGTTTCCTTATGTTAAATGTTACCTAGTATTTTATTCTTAGTTTTAACAAAAACTGTAACAAATTTTGTATATAGTTCAATTATAATTTTTATTATATTTTTATCTCGTTTTGTATTTGGCGCGTTCACTCACTTTTAAGCAAATCTCGAACTCATTTGTGTAGCGTCGGTAAACAAAACTCACACATAAATAAAATTCATTCATTCGTTCTTTTGGTTTTTTATCCAGGGTGCTGTCGGCGATTCCGGTCCCCCTGGGGATAACGGAGGAGTAGGTGCACCGGTAAGGAACTCATCTTTAACGTGTTGAGCGTGGATATCATTGTGATTAATAAGCTTGTGTGAAATCCAGGCCATCTGAGAAACCTACAAAGCGATATTTTGTTCCTTTAGAGGGCCCTAGTCAGCCACACCTTTGTTTTTGTTTACATGCGAGAGTTTGGCTATTATATTTCATTCGGAGCATGTCGAATCGAAGGAGATCACTGTGACACTGCTAAAGATAATTAAACACACTTTCGGGGACACAACTTCGCCATGCAATTATTGATAGTTTTGATGGCTTCGAAAATGGCGGAGGCTAGCCAGGGTCCTTTAAAGGAGTTCAGTCACCGCATTTTGGCCATGTACAAAAATTACCTTGTCATTGAAGGAAACCTGGAAATGGTAGTTCACTAAGAAAGAAAAAACACCAAAGAGTTAATACTATGCCTCAAAGGAACAAGGATTGTTAAGGAAAGAGACGATTAACCCCGATTGCAAACGACGAACTTGAAAAATTTAGGCTAAATTTTTGAAGAAGCGCACACCGTGCAGAAGCCCCTTTAAGGGGTTTCTTTAATCAATAAATACTTAAAATGTCAGATATAAAATGTCGTTTAACTGCATTGGGAAATTAGTAGCTACCATGGCCAGCATTGTTTTGGAGGGTGCACTATATGGCTTAACGGTAAGTAAGTTATCTGCGTCGAAACGTTTGGGTTGAATCTGTTCGCAGTCCTCGTACTGTGTTTTCGAGGAACCGATGAATCGATAGGACAACTTGACATTATTTCCGTTAGCGATACTCCTATTGAAACTGAGTTATTGAATTGATCAGCCGTAATCAGCCATCATTGCTAGCGGGAAGTGGGATTTGCAACCCTATTTTAGACCCTCTTCTAATGGAAAAAGTCTTTTATCCTACCGTTAATTATTACTTTGTTACATCAAGAAGATATTTTTGTAAACATACATTGTGCTTTACTGTTATGTTATGCAGGGATCTCAAGGTCAGACGGGACCTCCCGGACCCCCCGGCACAGCAGGTTCCAGTGTAAGTTTGTATCGGTCTGTTTTTACAAGGAAAGGTTTGCGTCAGCGAGTACTATAATTTCCATGCACGGTTACTTTAAATACTGATGCCTTGTCCCCATTTGATATCTTCCAGGGCGCATTTGGATTAGAAGGGGAAAGTGGCTACTCTGGAGCTTCTGGAATGAGAGTAAGTACTGATTTATATCTGTGATGATGTCCGTTTGGTTATTAGATGTCTGTAAATGTTAAAAAACTAACATTTCTTTGCATTTTACTCTCAGGGCGGAGTCGGACCTTCCGGTCTAAATGGAGCGATAGGAGCAGCAGGACCTAAAGTAAAAAATACTTTTATTTGTGTTGCCATCATTATCTGTTCATTAGTTATATCTAGTTAATTAATTTCTAGGGTCAAATGTGTGTGAAATTACGAACTCGCCATCTAGAAATGAAGAGGATTTAACACTACTTGTAAGTACACTTAGGAATCTCGCTAATAAAATTGAAAACCCAGACTCCCAGATATCGAGAAAAGGGATCGTAAACTCAAACAAGTATGGGTCTCGTAGTAGGTTAATAGAAAATATATAGTTTGTTCGTTCGTTTGTTTTCCTTTTTGACCCTGTTTGTTTTCCTGTCTTTTGAGCTTGGACTGACTTCCCGAGTTTTCGTCTAAAACAGAGTATTAGCTTTAGCTCTGCATAATTCTCTTAACCTACTGGAACCAGTTACAAAATCACTGACTGATATTGTAATGGGCAAGAAAACAAAACACTGACAAAAAGTTACATTTTCGTCTAGGGAGAAATAGGAGAAGCCGGAAAGGACGGAGTAGATGGGAAAGCAGGAGAAAATGTAAGTCTATCACAGTGTTTATTACTTCAGCAGCAATGGAAAGTATAAACACCGTGTCGACGTCGTAATTAACGAAGTCCTCAATAAACTATTAAAAAATACTGTAGTGTGCCCGAAATTTGTCATTTGATACACACTCTAGAACCAAAATGCGTTATGAGATGAAAATTGTAAAGTATTTTATTCCAAGATAAGCAATTAACATGTTCATCTCAGGACTTCATTTACGTTGAATGCTTCTTTCAGGGTGAGGATGGAGCAGCTGGCTCTGTGGGCAAGTCCGGAGAAAGAGGCGAAACTGTGAGTATACAGCAATGTATCAAGTACACGAAAGACCGTGTTTGAGCACATTTCCAAACACCGAGAAGAGAGTTGAAAATACGACGCGTAACGGAGTATTTTTGACGAACTTTGAGGTGTTTGGAAATGTGGTCAAACACTGTCTTGAGTGTTTGATATATCTTCTCAATCGAAACTAAATTTAAGGAGAAAACGGAGTAATAAAATCGTAAAAACCTGTGCTAATTGAATCAGACATCCAAACATCGTCACTGTCATGATTTTCTGAGTTCGAACTTCATGAATCATTAATGAGTTTTAGAAGCATATTTCACCGGTGCATCTCAAGAAGATACATGGTATTGATTGTCTGCTCTCTCAGTGAAACCTCCCGATAGTTGAATTTATTTTATGTTTTTCCCGCTGAGCTTTCTCGAATGATAGTTATTGACAAGTGCTGTATTTTACTGGCCAAACAAAAATTTACTCTCACACCGAGGTTTGGAGTAAAATGGCTGAGGGAAATCCCAAAGCCGCTTTATTAAAACTAACTAGTTTGTAATTCAGATAAAATATTACAATCTGTTAGAAATATTTCTGACCAGTAAAGGTGAGGGCCACCAAAACGCCGAACAGTTTGCAATCATCATGAAAGTAAAACATCGTGGACAGGATATGGGAAAGAGGTGGGAACTCAAATAGAAACGTTTTCACACGATGATAAATCCGTGTGAATGGACGCGTACATAGGAGAAATTACTAAGGGGATACAACGCAGTTACATTTCCCCAATCCCTACCACACGAGATATGCGTTGTTACATGCCATCTACAGTAATTACATAACTATAAAGGCTAAAATAACTCAAGTGGGAGAAACATAAAAAGTCTATTTGCAAGCATGTATATCACATCGGCGTCTTCGATGACAGAAAATTGTGACATTTGCGTTGAACTGCTTTAAGGTATCACGACTGTCAGCGAACAAACAACAATTTAGGGAACAAAATCCGTAGCTTGGTTTTTATACACTTCTGAAATGAAGATAGTTTGCTGTCGTTTCAGCTTCATTTATTGTCTTTTTCAGGGAAGTACAGGATCGCCTGGTCAAGATGGAAAACCTGGCAGAGACGGATCAAAGGTAATTATGTCATTGAGGCCTTGCTATTGATGGAAACCATTCGAATCGCGCAAGCGTGTTCTTTGAATCGACCTCATAGATTCGGCTCACATGTTTACATCCTTGTTACCACCCAATTCAAACTACGTGATGATTCATTTGAGAGGTTACAATTGTGCAGTTTTTCACAGGCAACTGATTACATGAGATTATGTACAAACAGAACAATTGTAACATCCCAAATGAATGATCGCATGATCTGAACGTTAGCCGAATCCGTCAATTGTGCATGTATGATATGGTATAATTCCAAATTTGATTCGCCCATGTATTTGCTTTCTGTTTTTTTTGTTTTTTGTTTTTGTTTTTGTTTTTGTTTTCTGTTTTTGTTTTTTTGTTTTTTGTTTTTTGTTTTTTGTTTTGTTTTGTTTTGTTTTGTTTTCCCTTAGTTTGTTGTCTGTTTTTAAATGAGTTATCCATTTAATTTAGGGTCTTTCTCGCTCTAAACGAGCTTGTGTTCCATGACCTAATCCAAATAGAGTTTTCAGAGTGCTCACAGCATCTAAATCTGTTTTTCCCTAGCCTTTAGACATCGACAGTGTTGTATTCACAAGAACCGCTCAGGCCGTGAAGATTCTGCCGGAAAATACTTTCAATGCTATATCTGGTTGCTGCTAAATGTTACATTAATCTCGGTTTTAGGGTCTGGATGGTGACATGGGTCTGCGCGGGAAACAGGGAGACATTGGACAATTTGGACCAAATGGCCCCAAAGGCGAACAAGGCGCACCTGGCATCGAGGGTTCTACTGTATGTGATATATTCATAAACCGATTATTGGACAATCTTCTCAATGTTTACACAATGAAAGCTGATTTAGATTATTTTGTTNACATTAAAACAGCGCAATGAGCACTCTAGTGTGGCCACTGTGTCCCATTCAGGGAATGACTCTTGAGACTGTTGGAAAACACGATTTGAAATGGCACCCTTTAACTACAAGATCTCAGAAAAAAGGATGTACACTGTCTCGTGATAGGGTTACTCACAAAAAAGTGGTTCTTCTCTCAACACCTTTTTAGCAACTCCTCCAAAGCATCAAAGCTATTCAGTAATCATCAACGAACAGATAAGAACAAATGCTTTTCTTTTTTTCTAATTCTCAACAGGGCAAAGAAACGAAACCCAAGGTAAGGGGGTAACGTTAGAGGTCACCTGCTTAAATGTTAAACGACAGTTCTTTGTGCTAAGTTGAGTATTAACTTCGTACAACGAAAGAAATATTAGAGAGTGAAAGGTTTATGTAGTCCCATACAAGCCATTAAAAAGAATGCATGATCTTCTAGATAAGTCACAGAATGACAGTTTTGAAGCAAGTTACGAGTGAGACATCAGTCGATATCTCTCAGCCCGTCTCTGAGCGTGTCTTAAAGTTTCTTTAGTCGTTATGATCTGTTCATTGCGTCATAATTTACTGTATGTCCTCATTTATTAGTTTACTTAACTTAGGATTTAGATTTATTGACTGTGTTACTGTATGTTTAATTTTTAGACCATCGACCTCTACGACGTTATCAGTTATCGCCTTGACATGTACAAAAATCCTAACGGTTCTCAAGCATTCCCTGCTAGAACATGCAGAGATCTCCACATGAGCTATCCAAACCTTATAAGTGGTTAGTACATCTCTGGCTGGCTGCCTGGATGACTGACTGACTGACTGACTGACTGACTGACTGACTGACTGACTGACTGACTCGCTGATTCGCTGATTCGCTGACTCGCTGACTCGCTGACTGACTGACTCACTGACTCACTGACTCACTGACTCACTGACTCACGGACTCACTGACTCACTGACTCACTGACTCACTGACTCACTGACTGACTCACCGACTGACTCACTGACTGACTGACTGACTCACTGACTGACTTGCTGACTAGGTAATTGCTTACTTACTTACGTTACTTACGTTTGCTTGCATGAACGCTTGCCCTATTGATCCATTGATTGATTTTTTGTTCAACATCTTAGGGATCTATTGGATTGATCCGAACGGAGGCATTGCCCATGATGCCATCAAGGTTTATTGTGAATTTCATACTAACGCTTCTTGCCTGTACCCCGGAGAAGAAAGTCAGGTTAGTTAGCAGGGACGGGGTGGTGTTGTTGTGATTGTTGTTGCTGTTGGTGGCGGCGGCGGCGGCGGCGGCGGCGGCGGCGTGGGTGGCGGTGGCGGTGGCGGTGGTGGTGGTGACGATGCTGATGATAATGATGGTCATGATATCGTAATTTATTATGTTGCTTTTTTGTTTGTTTTTTGCTTATTTGTTTGTTAGTTTCTTCGTTCCTTTGTCGGAGTTAGTTCCTCCCGGAATATCTACCTCTAAAAAGTCACTGTACCATGTATAAATTTCTCTTTTAAAGTGTGGATGGCATTTCTTCCATCCCTTTCGTTTCGTTTTCTAAAAGAAGAATCTACGAAACCTTCCCATCCAAAATGTAGAGTATGAGGTAATTCTGCTATTTGGAAGCTCATTTATAATTCTCTTTACAGCCTTATGTGACGGATAAAAAGAAGTGGTTTAGCGGAGGTGATGGATACAAATGGTTGGGAAAGGAGCTATCTGGACTTAACAAGGTCAGTATTCAGTGTTTAATTACTTTAGCGTCGGATTAATTAATCAATTTATTTCCAGTCCGTTTTATAGCAAAAGTACAGTAACCAAACCTAAGCTGAGTCATTGAAATAAACGTGCTGTAACTATTAGCCCTAGCTTCAACCTTATGTAATGGATCATATCTTTTCAAATCCTCCCAGCTGTTGTTATATATTCTTCTTCTATTTTGGAAACTTGACACGAGTGAGGAAAGTTTTTGAAGTGTATGTTCCTGTCCTGTATGGCAGGGTTTTGGCAACAACAATTCAAGCAACGTTCCGTGACGACATACACAACGGCTCTGCTGAATGAAGACTAGAATTAAGGTCGAACCATTATTTGAGGGGGCGGGGGCAATTTTCAGGGGCATGAAATTTTTACCTCATCTTTAGGTTGTGCATGATTTTATTTGGTGGGCAATAGCTTGTGCAAGAATCTTTTTGGCATTGAGAAGTGGTCCTGAATAGTAGAAAGCACTTATTTTTCCCATGGCGCCACTTGCACCTTTTCTTTCTCTCTTTTATTTATTTATTTTTTTTTTTTTNAACTTCAAGATATCCAATAACAGTCCGATAAACATCTGGATTTACATTGCGACCAAACCAGACCTTCAATGGATGCACTTGAGCTAGCTCAACAAAATCACGTTTCTGTTAAGATAAAAGATAAACATGCCATCAGAGGATTCACATGTAAAATGAAATTACACACATCTTCAGGGGCGGATCTAGGGGAAGGGTGCAGGGGGTGTGCCCCCCCCCCCCCCACCCCAACCCCCACCCTCAAAAAGAAATGTTCCCTCCCTTAAAAACAACTGTTAGCGGTCGTCCACCAAAGTGCGCGGTAATTGGTTCAGCACCCAATAGAATGCAGCATTTTTAATCAACATGAACTTGGGGCTTTTCGAAGTGACGTTTGTTTCTGATTCATTTACTACTACATTCCTGTCTTTGGCTAATCTCAAACAATAACAAGAAATTAAGAGCGGGAACCCTTTTCATCAGGCAGATTATCAACCTTGGGTGCCTATTCTTTTTGGATTTACTGTTAAGTATGTAAATCGTCTTTCCGGAACACGCCGGGTAAGTTTTCATAAGGCTAAAAGGGACAAAAGGCGGAAAACGAAATTCAAATGTTCTTAGGTTAAAAATAACTGGATAATTCATGAATAGACATACAGCGTATATCAGTTGCAGCCCGTTAAAGAAGTATAACAAAACGTTTCATATAAAATACATTGTTTTAATTTGTTTATGCCCTATCCAGCTCGAATATGTATCAGACTTCAGCCAACTGGAATTTCTCCAACTCTTAAGTGACCGTGCCCGTCAGCAGATTACGTATCATTGTAAAAACTCGGTAGCATGGCCTGATGGTAGCTCTGATGACGCCGCAAAGTCCATCAAAATGTTAACCATCAACGGACTTGAGCTACACGCAAAGTCGTCCAACAAATTTAAGCCCAAGCTTCTCGGGGATGACTGCAAGGTAAGAGGCTATATTCAGTAAATTATGTCTGAATGACAACTGTAGGTTTAAGGGTTTACCAGGACGGAATGGGAGATGGAAATCCTGTTAACGTAATGGTAGCGATGGAATCCCAAGCTATCAGCTCGATTAGACTCGATTAGCCGCTGTTCGGAAAAGGAGCTCGCCCTCCTCCCCGATGGGACGAACGTAGACCGGACTCGAGAGAGCGGCGGAAATCGAGTCTACATCAGCTAGTAATAAGCAAATATGTTTTTTGTATATAAACGCATGCGGTCCTGACGTTGTACACGATCTACCTGACGTTATCCTGTGTGATTTTAGCTGTTTAAGACAATGCACGAGAATGCTTGGGCCGCCAGTGCTATAGCCAGCGGCGTAGAATAAAATGACAAATAGCATTCAGTCCCATATGTTAATTCCAATAAATCCCGTGAGTTCCATGGCTGAAATAAATCCTCAATTTTCTTAACGATTTTACATGCATTTGCCTCTTTCATTCACTAGATAAAGGACGGATCTTGGCATCGCACAACCTTGGAAGTGGACACGCCGAAACCCCACCGCCTCCCTGTACTTGATGTGGCCGTGTATGATATTGGAGACACTGGTGAAGAATTCGGTCTTGAATTTGGACGTGTATGCTTCTCTTGATTGACACTTGTATGCGTTCTTTCCAAGTACCTTTCTATGAAAAAAGTACAGAAAATTAAAACTTAAGACTAGTCGTAAGTTATTAAGTTCGAAAGAGATCTACGAACATTTCACAAGCCATATAAATA